TTAAAATTGTGAGATAATAAATGTGTGTTGTTTTTGTGGTAATTTGTTACATAGCAATAGATACCTAATACCAAGATGATACATATCTTTTTGTTAAAAGTTGCGTGCATTTTTTTTTTCTCATTGCCTTTTTATTTTTCTTTTAGTGTCTTTTGCGACCCCCAGTTTTTTTGTTCTTGTATAATCTAGTTTATCTGTCTTTTCCAGGATTGTTTTTGGATTTTCAGTTACAGCTAGAAAAGTTTTGCCTACTTCCAGAGAATAGAGGAACTTACTTTTGTTTTCTTCTGTTATTTGTATGGTTTCATCATCTGTATTTTTTAAAGTTTTTTATTTTAATTCCAGTATAGTTAACATACAGTGTTATATTAGTTTTAGGTGTACGTTATTGTGATTCAGCAGTTCTATACATTATTCACTGCTCATCATATAATTGCACCAAAAACCATAAGATACCTAGGAATAAACCTAACCAAAGAGGTAAAAGATCTATACTCTGAAAACTGTAGAACACTTATGAAAGAAAGTGAGGAAGACATAAGAAATGGAAAAACATTCCATGCTCATGGACTAGAAGAACAAATATTGTTAAAATGTCTATGCTACCCTAAGCTATCCAGTGCAATCCCTATCAAAGTACCATCAGCATTTTTCACAGAGCTGGAACAAATAATCCTAAAATTTGTATGGAACCAGAAAAGACCGTGAATAGCCACAGGAATGTTGAAAAAGAAAACCAAAGCTGGAGGCATCACAGTAACGGACCTCAAGCTATATTACAAAGCTGTAATCATCAAGACAGTATGATATTGGCACAAAAACAGACAGATAAATCAATGGAAAAGAATAGAGAACCCAGAAATGGACCCTCAACTCTATGGTCAACTAATCTTTGACAAAGCAGGAAAGAATATGCAATGGAAAAAAGTCTCTTCAACAAGTGGTGTTGGGAAAATTGGACAGACACATGCAAAAGAATGAAACTGGACCACTTTCTTATACTGTATATAAAAATAAACTCAAAATGGATGAAAAACCTAAATCTGAGATGGGAATCCATCAAAATCATAGAGGGGAACACAGGCAGCAACCTCTTCCACCTTGGCCGCAACAGCTTCTTGCTAGACACGTCTCCAAATGCAAGGGAAACAAAAGCAAGAATGAACTGTTGGGACTTCAAGATAAAAAGCTTTTGCACAGCAAAGGAAACAGTCAACAAAACTAAAAGCAACCTAGAAGTGGAAGATGATATTTGCAATGTTTTACCAGATAAAGGGCTAGTATCCAAAATCTGTAAAGAACTTACCAAACTTTACACCCCAAAAACAAAAAATCCAGTCAAGAAATGGGCAGAAGAAATGAACAGACATTTCTCCAAGGAAGACATACAAATGGCCAACAGACACTTGAAGAAGTGTTCAACATCACTTGGCATCAGGGAAATACAAATCAAAATCACAATGAGAAACCATCTCATACCAGTTAGAATGGCTAAAATTAACACAGAAAACAGCAGATGGTGGCGAGGATGTGGAGAAAGGGGAACCTTCTTACGCTGTTGGTGGGAATGCAAACTGGTGCAGCCACTCTGGAAAACAGTATGGCGGTTCCTCAAAAAGTTAAAAATAGAACTACTCTGTGACCCAGCAAGTGCACTACTAGGTATTTATCCAGAGGATAGAAACATAGTGATTCAAAGGGGCACGTGAACCCCAGTGTTTATAGCAGCAATGTCCACAATAGCCAAAATATTGAGAGACCTCTGATGTCCACGGACAGATGAATGGATAAAGAAGAGTGGTATATATAGACAATCGAATATTACTCAGCCATCAAAAAGAACGAAATCTTGCCATTTGTAATGATGTGGATGGAACTAGAGGATGTTATGCTAAGTGAAATAAGTCAGAGAAAGTCAAATACCATATGATTTCACTCATGTGGAATTTAAGAAAGAAAACAGATGAACATAGGGGAAGGGAGGGAAAAATAAAATAAGACGAAATCAGAGAGGGAGACAAACCGTAAGAGACTCTTCACTATAAGAAACAAACTGAGGGTTGCTGGGGGGGCGGTGGCGGGAATGGAGTAATTGGGTGATGGGCATTAAAGAGGGCACTTGAAGTAATGAGTACTGGGTGTTATATGCAACTGATGAATCACTGAATTCTACCTCTGAAACTAATAGTACAGTATATGTTAATTAAATCGAATTTAAATAAAAAATTTTTTAAAAAAGAGTCTTTCTTGGTTTCTCTCCCCTCCCCCCCTTTTTTCCTTTGCTCGTTTGTTTCTTCAATTCCACATAGGGGCGAAAGAAATCATATGGTATTTGTCTTTCTCTGATTGACTTCACTTAGCATTATACTCTCTAGCTCCATCTATGTTGTTTCAAATGGCAAGATGTCATTTTATGGCTGGATACTCCATTGTATATATACCACATTTTTTTTTAATCCATCCATCTCTTGATGGATACTTGGGCTGCTTCCATAATTTGGCTATTGTAAATAATGCTGCAGTAAACATAGGGGTGCATGTATCCCTTTGACTTTGTATTTTTGTATTTTTGGGGGGTAAATGCCCAGTAGTGGGATTACTGGATTGTAGGGTAGTCACGGTTTGAGGAACCTCCATACTGTTTTCCGCAGTGGCTGTACCAGTTTGCATTCCCACCAACAGTGCACGAGGGTTCCTTTTTCTCTACATCCTTGCCCGTCTTCTCCAAAACAGTTATTTCTTGTGTTTTTGATTTTAGCCCTTCTGACAGATGTGAGGTGGTATCTCACTGTTATTTTGATTTGGATTTCCCTGATGATGCATGATGTTGAGCATCTTTTCCATTGTCTGTTGGCCATCTGGATGTCTTTGGAGAAATGTCTGTTCATGTCTTCTGCCCATTTTTTAATTGGATTATTTGGGTTTTTTTGGATGTTGAGTTATATCAGTTCTTTATATATTTTAGATACTAACCCTTTATTGGATATGTCGTTTGCAAATAGCTTTTCCCATTCTGAAGGTCATCTTTTATTTGGTTGACTGTTTCCTTCACTGTGCAGACTCTTTTTATTTTGATGGTCCCAATAGTTTATTTTTTCATCTACATTTAAAAATCAAGTTCATATCAGATGTGTCTAGGTGAATGGTGTGAGGAGTGGACCCCAGTGTATCCTTCAACATACAGCTAAACAGTTGTCCCAAAACCAGTTAGCAAAAAGTCATTCATTTTTTCACTGGCATGTGATGTTATCTATAATCATTTATGCTAAATTTCTAAATGTAATTGGGTCTGTTTCTCAGTTTTTCATCCTGCCCCATTGGTTTTTAGTCTGTGCATGTGTCATGCTGTGCCGCTTAGGTAGAGAAACCCTGAAGCTTATTATCCAGTAGGGCTCACCCCTGCTTGTACTTGTTTTTCAGGGTTTGCCTGCCTATTCCCTGCTTGTTCATTCTTTCCCAAATGAACTATAATAATCAACTTGTTTAGCTCCAGAAGAAAATCTGTTAGTATTTTGCCATATACGTGTATATATGTGTAGCATATATAAGTTATCTTAAGGAGAGCTGACTTTTATGATTTGGGGTTTCTCTATTCAAGAGTAAGGTACATCTTTCCATGTGATCAAGTCTTCTTTTGGGGCTTTCAGGAGTGTCTTAAGGTTTTCCTCATACATGTTTAAGACATTGCTTGTTAAGTTATGATTAGTATTTATCCTTAAGATTTTTTATATTCATAAGATTGATATTCATAAATGAGATGTGTGTTTTGGGAGGTTCAGTTTTTGTCAGATTTTGAGATAAGTGTCCTCATTTTGTGAAACAGATTTGGAAGATTTCTTTATTATTATTATTTATGCTCTTTAGTGGCTTAGGTAGCACTAGGATGATTAGATCTTTAAAGGACTGGTAGAATTCCCCTGTGAAACTCTGTCTGCGTGGTGGTTTGTTTCTGTTGTTGTTTTTGAGAAACTCTTAATAGCACTTTTTTTTTTGTAAGAGAGCCCAGAGGCAGGCAGAGGGAGAAGTGGGCTCCTTGCTCAGATCAGTGTAGGACTCGATCTTAGGACCCTGGGATCATGACCTGAGCTGAAGGCAGACGCTTAACCAACTGAGCCACCCCAGGCATCCCATGTTTTGAGAAACTCTTACAGTATTATTTCTTCTGTGATGACTGGTCTGTTCGCATTTCTGTTGGGACTGGGGTTAATTTGAGTAAGTTGTATTTTCCTTAAAATGTACTCTTCTAGGTTTTCAAATTCATATGCATGGAATTACATGAAGCTATCTCTTGATTCATAAAATTTGCAGTGATTCAAATTTATCATTAAGAAATCTTAGACTGAGAATGGAAGAATTGGGACTTCTGCTGGCATACTGAATATTTTGCTTAATAAAGACAGTGTCTAATGAAACTGTTTAAACTGGTTAGCTGTCTTCTGCTCCTTCACCTCCTCCTCTTGACAGTGGACGTTTATTCCCCAGGCTGTGCTCATCTCACATCATACTCTTCTCTAAGATTTTTACATTGCACAGAATCAAGGTCCTGAACCTTTTCTGGAACAGAAATACACTTTGTGTAATTTTTAATGACACAGACAAGTACTTGTTAATTTTTAATACTGGACACTGTGCTTGGTAAACATAATGGGCTTGAGAAGACAGAAATGACCCCTGTTGCTTATGGTATGTATAGTAGTGCTTACCCAATAGGCACAGTGTTTATTGGGATATCTCCAGTTCATGCATCTGGAAAGGACTCCTCTATCAGTAACTGTACCTCTCCACAGTGTGAGTGTTGGCATCTCATTTTCCAACCACCACATTCAGTTTTTCCCTGTTACTCTTTCCAGCAGTTACTCAGCCACACAGGACCTCAGGTCCATTGGCCCTGCACAGGTTTTCATCCTGTGTCATTCTTCCACGTCCTCACATTTCTCCTTGCCTGGCTTACATCTGTAGTTTGTCATCCTAATCAGCACATTGCACGTACTTCTCCCCAGACCGCTGCTTCTGTACCTCCCTGGTGAAATCCTGACTCTCTGCTTACAAGACACCTGTCCCTCAGCAGCTACCAGACCATGACTGCCTGGTCTCACTGGAAATTCCTGTACACAGCTGGTTAGCCTTTTATTCATTTAACTTTTGAAAAATGTATTACGTTGACATCTAAGTGCTGAAGTTTTGGCTTTATTAACTGCTCAAGTTTATGATTGAAAGAATTTGTTCACTAGTTGTTTTGTATTAACTAACCTTAAATGTTCGCTTTGACCCTCCTTTTAAAGGCTTTCAGCCTTGGATATTGAAGCCATGAGTAATTGCCTATAGAAGGAATAGCAAACAGCACAAAGCAGAAAAACTTTATTGTCTTTGTTAGCATAGATTAGACTAAAATTTCATCTTTTGGTTTTTGTTTGCACGTTTTAACTTCTTAAGTAGTTAAGAACCTGTTATTTTATTAAATAACAGGTATCTAATTGCTTTGTATTTTATTCATATTTGTTAGTAACTTTTTGACCCGTCTAAAAACTGATAGTGTCTTTGTTTCTGAAGACTATTGTGGTTAATTATATAAAACAAATGATCTGATTTTATAAATTCCTCTCATTTTTATAGGTTTCTTAGTTTAGTATAAGGATTGATTATGTGAAAAATGTTCTCTAAATACTTATCATAATATAGCTTGAGGAGAATTGTTGAGAGTTAATACATTTTACAGTTCAGGAAGCAAGGACTCTTGATGTTTGGGCTCTTGTGGTTAGGATTGGGAGGGGTATTCTGGGAAAAATCTGGACAGAGTTGGCCAAATCCTGTGGGTGAGGTCTTGAGAACTTTCTCGTTTCGCCCATAGGTCCTGGCAGCCAAGTGCATGCAGTGGACAAAATGGAAAGTGGACTCCTGTTTTTATCACAAAGACCTTTATTTAACTTATGAAATTGAACAATGAGAGCCTGTTGTTTTTTGTACCTTTTCTAATATTAACTATGACTGTTGTTCTGCCTAGTTTCATATTGAAATAAGGTAGTCATGATCTTTTTTTCTGCTTGGCTCGAATGTGACAGCAATACATTCGCTTATAAATACCCAGCATTTTGCAAACATTGATAACTGTATTACAGTAATTCATTAATTTCCGTGAATATTTATTAAGTGTTCGCTACATGCCAGGCATTGTTGTAAGCTCAAGGTATACTACAGGAAATGAACAGACAAAAGCTCTTGCTGATGAAGCTTACATTCTAGCAGGGGGGATGGACGAGAAATAGTAAGTAATTATGTCCTATGTAGGAAGGTGGAAGTTTCACAGAGTTGGGAAGATCAGAAGTGCTAGTGTTTGGTGGTGCAGTTGCAGTTTTAAATATGGTAGTGTAGAAACTTACTGAGAAGGTGATATTCGAGCAAAGATTCAACAGAGGTGAAGTTAGCTAGGATGAAAAGTATTCTAGGCAGAGGGAAGAACCGATGCATAATCCCTCAGTGGGAGTATGATTGACACATTTGGTGACCCATAAGGAGACCTATGTCTAGAATGAAATGAATGAGGAGGGAGATAACAGAAAATATGGTCAGAGAGGTAATTCCAGATAAGGTAGGGACATGTGGGTCATTGTAAGGAACAGATGGTCGTCACATATACCATTCATATTACATACTAAATTTAGACCTAATGAGAAGGAGGAAAACGTTAACGTTGAATTTGTGCTGTATTCTTTCATTCTGTAGATATCGTTCAACAGCTTTTATGTGCCATTCATTGTGCTAAGTGAGGGAATACAGTGAACAAATGAAACAAAAGCTAGCCACAGTGTTTGTGGAGGTTCTCTTGATCCAGTGCAAATTGCTGTGTTTTGTGTGTTAATGATTGTACTTGATAGTCTACATAATTTATATAATTCTGAGTATTTCATTTAATTCTAAGTATCCAGCGAGATAGACAGTATTATTAACTTGGCATACAGTTGATGAAAGTGAGGCTAAGGAAATTTGGTAATTTGTCTAAAGTTGCATAGCCAGTATGTGACAGAATGGGATTAGAACTTAATCTTGTCTTTTCATTATATCATTGGTTCCCAAATCTGGCTGTGCATCAGAGTTCACTAGGAAGCTTATTATCAAAGCTATAGATTCCTTAACCTTACCTCTACTCTCATTTATAAATTTGAACTGTTGAATCTAGAGTAGGCATTAGGGCAGGTTTAATCTTTGGAAAGTAGAACTGTTTTCTTCAGGTTGCTCATTTTTAATAACAGATTTTAAGATCCTTGGGTTGAAAGAGTCCTATAATTTTGTAGTGGAAATCCAGACTTTAGATAGACTGCCATGATACATAAGGTACTTGTATTTTCCTCATGAAAAGGCAGAATCTGAAAAAAAAATTACCACACTGAAAGCAATCCAGACCAAAGGCAAAATATCCATTAACACGGGCAAATGAAGTCAATTATTTTGCTACCATTGATTTTCCAAGCACTAAGACATTGGCCTGTCGTTTTAATTGTTGAATCTTTTTTTTTTTTTTAAATTCAGCGCTATCCACATATCTTCTTTTATTTGAGTCTCTGTTAACGGTATGCCTAGGGGTCCTAAGTAAATAGTTGAGAAGTTCTACTTGATTGTTGGAAAACTGACTGTGAACTTGGTGGATGATTTACAAGTGTACCGAAGGGTCTAACATAGCTGTCCTTCTCTTCCAGGAGATTGAAGATGGCCCTTCAGCTATGCTAGGTCTATAATGGGAAGTGTCACAGTTCGATATTTCTGTTATGGATGCCTTTTTACATCTGCGACCTGGACAGTTTTGCTTTTTATTTATTTCAACTTCAGTGAAGTGACTCAGCCGCTTAAGAATGTGCCCATCAAGGGGTCCAGGCCCCATGGACCATTTCCCAAAAAATTCTATCCCCGTTTCACTCGAGGCCCAAGTCGAGTGTTAGAATCACAGTTCAAAGTAAACAGAATTGATGATACAATAGATAATCATGTTGAAGATCCAGAAAAAGGCAACATGAAATTCTCTTCTGAATTGGGTAAGTGTATTGGACTTCTAGTAGCATGTCAGAGTATTTAATCATTGGAAGTTTAAATTCAGTTATTCTTTAAATCACGTGTTGCTCAGGGGATTAGAAATGGGTCATTTTCCCCCTCCAATTTATTTTGTTAATGAACTAGCTGAGGTTTTAGGATTTTGCAGATTCAGTGGGGAGTTACATTCTAATTTATCCATTTCTGACTTTAATATTTTATGAGGACTTGGGAGAAAGTAATAAGGTCCAGTGTAGAAATGAAAGAAAAAGAAAGAAAATGGAACTTATGGGGGAAGATTTTAATTGTTAGCATTATTTAATAAGGGAAAGAAATGGTTGAAAGGTAACTAGACTATATATAACATATTTTGAAAGCAGAGTTAATTAAAACAGAACATACACTATGAGGTTTAGAGATAAGCTGAAATTATATCTAATAAGAGTTCTACTTACAAGAATTGTTAAGGTGCTGGAGTATATTAAATATAGGAGTTTATAAAATCTTAGTATAAAGGGAAACTTTTTTCTTCAAAAATTATATTCTTGGGGTGCCTGGGTGGCTCAGTCATTAAGCATCTGCCTTCGGCTCGGGTCATGATCCCAGAGTCCTGGGATTGAGCCCCGCATCGGGCTCCCTGCTCCGCCGGAAGCCTGCTTCTCCCTCTCCCACTCCCCCTGCTTGTGTTCCCTCTTGCTGTGTCTGTCAAATAAATAAATAAAATCTTTAAAAAAAAATTATATTCTGTTCAATTTGGCAGCAAGGATCTACTGCATATGCCTTCTGCATACTATAATTTTAGAATTCTGGTTTTCGCAAATTTTATTTTAAGGGATAAATGAGCCATTTTGGTTATCTTTAAAACTTAAAGGTCTTTAATCTTGTCCTGGAAATCTCAAATAATAAGTAATTTAGAAGTAAGATTTTTAGAGATTGAAAGATTCATAAAATATAAAGGAAATGTTAAAACATTTCATTTGATCATAGTTTCAAAGAAATAAAATCAGTTTCTGGGACTTAATGATTTTCTAATACATAGAGTTGAAAATATTTAAAATTATATGAGGAAATGGAAACTAATACCTTGATTTTCATAAAATATACCTTCCAATCTTTTTTCATACTGCAATTTAGATACTTTAAAAGCATTAATAGGAAAATTTTTAGCTTCTTTATTCTTAGTTACTCCGGCAAAAAACTTTTATAAAGAAGTAACATTGGGTTTACTGTTTTGAATGGACCTTGTATTTGCCTTCGAATATCTGTGACAAACTCAAATTGCTTAGCTGAAAAACTAAATGCTTTATAACAGGTATACAAAAAACCTGTTATAGCTAATAAATGAATTCAGCTAAGTTGCACGGCAGAAGATCAACACACAAAAACCAGTTGTATTTCTGTACATTAGCAGCAAACGGTGTGAAAATAAAACTAAGAACGATTCCATTTACAGTAGTATCAAAAGGAATAAAATACTTAAGAATAAATTTAACCAAGGAGGTGTGAGATTTGTACACTGGATACTACAAAACTGCTGAAAGAAATAAAAGTAGACCTAAATAGATGGAAAGACATGTTAGGTTCATGGATTAGAGTACTAAATACTGTTAGGGTGCTAGTACTACCCAAAGCAATCCATAGATTCAGTGCAAACCTTATCAAAATAAGATGGAACGGCTGATCCTAAAATTAATGTGGAATTACAAGAGGCTCTGAATAACCAACACAATCTAGGCAGAGTACAAAGGGGAGGGCTCACTTCCCAATTTCAAAACTCTCTACAAAGCTATAGGAATCAAAACAGTGTGATATTGGCCTAAGGACAGATGTATAGATCAGTGGGTAGACCGAGAGTCCAGAAATAAACCCTATGACATTTCTGGCCGCTTGATCTTTTAAAAATGTGCCAAGACTGTTTAATGGGGGAAAAATAGTCTCTTCGACAAATGCTGTTGGGACAAATAGATATCCAGATACAGAGGAGTAAAGTTGAACCCTTATATGTAAAAATTAACTCAGAATCAATTGAAGACCTAAATATAAGAGCCAAAACCTTTATAAAATCCTTAGAAGAAACCCTAGAGATAAATCTTCTTGACCTCGGGTTTGGTAGTGATTTCTTACATGACACCAAAAGTACAAGTTAACAAAAGAAAAAAATAAATTGGACTTCATTGAAATTAAAAACTTTTGTACATCAAAGAAAACAACCAGGAAAGAAAAAAGACAATCCACAGAATGGGAGAAAATGTTTTCACATCCTGTCTTTAATCGGGGTCCATTATCCAGAATATATAAAGAACTCTTACAGTACAACAATAAAAAGACAACCCAATTTAAAAATGGGCAAAGAATTTAATAGACACTTTTCCAAAGACAAACAAGCACAAAAGATGTTCAGCATAGTTACAGAAATGCAAATCAGAACCACAGTGAGATACCATTTTACATTTGGTAGGATGGTTATAATTTTTTAAAAAGGAAAATAACAAGTGTTGGCCAGGATACAGAGAAATTGGAACCTTCGTTCATTGCTGGTTCCTCAGTAAGTTAAACTTAGAGTTACCATATGATCAGCAATTCCACTCCTGGGTATATACCCAAAAGAATTGCAGGCAGATGTTCAAACAAAAATTTGTACACAGATGTTCATAGCAGCACTATTCTCAATGAACAAAGATGGGGAGAACCCAAATGTCCATCAGTTGATGAAAGGACAAGCAACATGTCTTTCCATACAGGGATTTGTTCAGACACAGAAAGGAATGAAGTTCCAACACCTGTTGTAACAAGGAGGAACCCTAAAAATGTTATGATTAGTGAAAGAAGCAGGACACAAGAGGTCAAACAGTGCGTGATTTCATTTATATGAAATGTCTAGAATAGGTAAATGTGTGGAGACTAGAAGCAGATTAGTGGCTAAGGGGGCTGGGGAGGCAGGAGGGGGAGAGGCTTGCTTTAATGGGTATAGAGTTTCATTTGGGGTGGGGCTGTGAGTAGCTGCGGCTGGATGTGCCGGCTGCACCACATTGTAAATGTGCTCGGTGTCACTGAAGGTAAACTGTGTGTTATGTACCTTTTGCCACAATGACAAAAATGGAAAAACACACTCAACTTCTATAAAGAAAACTTGATTTAGAAGGAATTAATATAAATCAGTATAGTAATAGTTAAAAGTATGGTGATTGCTGAATAGGGCCTTATCTTTAAACAGTCAGGGGAAAGAACTTGTACATTTTAGAAAGATTATCAACAGTGAATTTAAAATTAAAAATAGATTTTCTAATTTAATTTGCAGTTAATTATAAAGAACCTGGAACAGCTCCTCGGAGGCATGGCTGAATAATACCATGTTCTTTTTATCTGTAGTTTACACAGCCAGACACCTGTAAATGCCTGTGATGGTATGGGGAGTTTTTCATAGCTTATCATTTTCTAAAGTGGATACAAATCAATGAACTAATACTAAGCTTGCAGGAGCTTCCAAGTACTAGTTTAATTGAATCATTTTGCTATTTGATATGTTGCTTATATTGTTTTCAAATGTAGTATTAAAATTGCTGTGGTCATACTGAAAAAAATTTTTTAAGTTAAAAAAGATAGCTCCTCCAGCATGCTAGTTAATTGGCTGTGATTTTATATGAGCAGGGGAAGGACAAAAGTAAGCTGAAGTGATTCCCCCCCCCCAGTTTTGAGATAAAAGTGATATATATAACATTGTATTAGTTTAAGGTATATAACATAATGACTTCATATAAGTATATATTGTGAAATGATTACTATAGTAAGTTTAGTTAATATCGATCATCTCACATAGTTAAAAATGTTTTTTTCTTGGGATGAGAACTTGTAAGCTCTACTCTTAGCCACTTCCAAATATATAATACAGTATTATTACCCACCATTACCATGCTGTACATTACATCCCCAGAACTTATTTATAATTAGAAGTTTGTACCTTTTAACCAACCTTCACCCAATCTGCACCTTCCCCCACCCCACCTCAGCAACCACATCTGTTCTCTGTCTGTAGGAGTTCTCTTTTTTTAGATTCCACATAAAAGTGAGATCATACAGTATTACGTATTTGTCTTTCTCTGTTTCACTTAAGCATAATGCCCTCAAGGTCCATCCATGTTGTCACAAATGGCAGGCTTTCCCTTTTTTTCATGGTGTGGGGGGGCGTGCCACATTTTATTTATCCATTCACCTATCAATGGACGTAATCTCTTAATATGGAATAATTTTTCTTTTTTTTTTTTTTTTTAAGATTTTATTTATTTGACAGAGAGACAGCGAGAGAGGGAACACAAGCAGAGAGGGACCCTGAGACCATGACCTGAGCTGAAGGCAGTCACTTAACCAACTGAGCCACCCAGGCGCCCCTGGAATAATTTTTCATCAAAAGATATATATTAGAAAATAATCCTTTCAGTATCCAGTATGAGCTAGTTCTTTGATTTATTGAATCAAGGAATATTTATTGAGAATTTAGTTTATGCAAGGCACTGTCCTAGGTGCTGGGTATCAAGCAATTTTTATTTTATGTTTTGAACATGATCAAAGTCTCTGCTGTCATGGAGTTTGCATCCTCTTATAAAATGTTAATGGAGCTTCGTTCTTTTGTATTTAAAAAAGGATGTACTCCATACCAAAAAACCCCAAATCCAATTTAAAAATGGGCAGAAGGTATAAACAGACATTTCTCCAAAGAAGACATCCAGATGGCCAACAGATACATGAAAAGATGTTCAACACCACTCATCATCAGGGAAATGCAAATCAAAACCACAATGATCTACCACTCCACACCTGTCAGGAAGGCTAAAATCAAAACCACAAGAAACAGTGTTGGTGAGGATGTGGAGAAAAAGGACCCCTCATGCACTGTTGGTGAGAATACAAACTGGTGCAGCCACCTTTGGAAAACAGTATGGAAGTTCCTCAAAAAACTAAAAGTAGAATTACCATATGATCCAGTAATTCCACTTCTTGGTGTATACCGAAAGAATACAAAAACACTAAATTGAAAGGTTACATGTTACCCATATGTTATTGCAGCATTATTTAGCCGAATTATAGAAGCAACCAAAGTATTCACTGATAGATGAGTAGATAAAGAAGATGTGGTGTATATATACACAATGGAGTATTACTCAGCCATAAAAAAGAATAAAATCTTGCCATTTGCAACAACACGGATCTAGAGGGTATAATGCTAAGTGAAATAAGTCAGAGAAAGACAAATACCATATGATTTCACTTGTGTGGAATTTAAGAAACAAAAAGACAAACCAAGAAACAGACTCTTAATGAGAACAAACTGGTGGTTGTCAGAGAGGAGGTGGGTGGGGCTGCGTGAAATAGGTGCAGGGGATTAAGAGTACATTTATTATGATGAGAACTGAGTAAGGTATGTATATTATACACGTGAAACTAATACAACACTGTATGTTAACTGTACTAGAATTTCCTCTTAAAAGTCCATAGTACAGGGGTGCCTGGGTGGCCCAGTTGTTAAGCGTCTGCCTTTGGCTCAGGTCATGATCCTAGGGTCCTGGGATCAAGCCCCACATCGGGCTCCATGCTCAGCAGGGAGCCTGCTTCTCCCTCTCCCTCTGCCTGCCTGTCTGCCTACTTGTGCTCTCTCTCTCTGTCAAATAAATAAAATCTTAAAAAAAAGTAAAAGTCTATATTACAGTCTAAAACCATGAAAAGTTAACTAGTAACAGTTAAAAATGTCAGTTATTGACAAAGACTGAAAGTAATCAGGTGATTGAGAATCCCTATTTAGGGGTATCTTAATACATGAAAAACACTGTAAAATGGAAGCAAAACATGGAATTTTGTTTTCATTATTATACAGCCAATAAGAACAGAGTATGCAAGGACACTAAATACTGCTTTAAAATGAAGTCTCTAGAGTTCTATCAGTAATGAAAATATTCTGTAAAAAAAAAAAATGTATTCCAGCTTTGAAAGCTCATAGAAAAAAGCATATTAAGAGGTAGTGTTTCCCAAAGTGGATCTGGGGACTCTAGTCATCTGTGGTCAAATAAATTGTGGAAGCAATGCATTCTGTATCCCATCCCCTCACACCTGGGTATCTGTAAAACAGTCAACATCATTAAAGGATCAGGACTATCCTTCCATTCCAAATAAAACAAAACAAAACCTATTGGACTTTCAAAATCCATTGTTTCTCTGGATTGTTTGACCATGAAATCCTTTTTTTCTTTTTAACATCTGTTAATGTCCAGTGGAATTAGATTTCTGTGACCAGACTTTGGGAAATGCTGGGACAAGGGAGTCATCCTGTGAGGAGAGGTTAAAGGTTTGATATGGGAAAGAGAGCGAAAAGAGACATTATCCTTCTATGTAAAGGTAAAGTTTCTGAATGTTAGAGCAGGAATGTTAAATTGTAGTGATTTTGATGGGATCTCCCCAGGGAATTTCTTGCCTTTCTTGACTATGAAGCTGATTAAAGTCTGGAATCAGAGACTTTGTAGAAAGGCTTATCAATAATCTCTATTTTAGGGGCAGGGCTCCTATAAAAACTTGGCTGTCGGGGTGCCTGGGTGGCTCAGTCATTGGGCGTTTGCCTTCTGCTCAGGTCATGATCCCGGAGTCTGGGATCGAGCCCTGCATCGGGCTCCCTGCTCCTCGGGAAGCCTGCTTCTCCCTTTTCCACTCCCCTTGTTTGTGTTCCCCTCTCACTGTCTCTGTCAAATAAATAAATAAAAAGTCTTAAAACAAAACAAAACAAAACTTGCCTGTCATTGGGACCTGTTGCCCATATGGGTTCTATAATCTATTGCTTTTATGGAAAAATAATCATTCTTTTATTTCTGTCCATATGTAAGTATTTTTCTTGAAAATATTCTTAAGATTATGGCTAGTGAGGGACGCCTGGGTGGCTCATTCGGTTAAGCGGCTGCCTTCGGCCCAGGTCATGATGCCAGGGTCCTGGGATCGAGTCCCACATCAGGCTCCTTGCTCAGCAGGGAGCCTGCTTCTCCCTCTCTCTCCCTCTGCTTGTGCTCTGTCAAATAAATAAAATCTTAAAAAAAAAAAAAAGATTATGGCTAGTGAGCAGGTATTTATGATTAAGGTATACCTGCTTTTTGAGCTAGACTGACAAAAATTTGACTCTTCAATTTACTTTTTTGAAAATGGAGACAAGTTAGAATTGAGAAACATGGCTATTTGGTTACAAAGGGTTAAAGTCAGGATTTTCTTAGGATCATAATATAACAGTAACTGCAGCAATCCTTTCCAGATTTAACATACTGACTGTAACTTCAATCTTTTGCAGGTATGATTTTTAATGAACGTGATCAGGAGTTGAGAGACTTAGGCTATCAGAAACATGCCTTCAACATGCTTATCAGTAACCGCTTGGGCTACCACCGGGACGTGCCAGACACCAGGAATGCTGCGTACGTTGCTCATTAGTTGATGCTGCTGCGTTTTAATGACTGCTTTTAGTGGCATTATAGTAAGTCGTGAGGATGGTGCTAATCAGTGCATTTAGGCTTCATTATTCAGGATACTGGAAAAATTAAGACAGATTTCCACTCTGTGACACCTGAAGCCTGAGATTGTACTAACAGAGTTCTAGAGCTTACTGTCTCTCTTGAAATTTAAATCAGAGGGGAAAGGCAAGAGGTACTAACTGCATATAATTAGATAACCTTCTGAGCATAAATTTGTTTGAAATGTTTATTGTATTTTTGGCAAAGGAATTAAAAATCATTGAAGAATTTCACTCATCTCACTTTTTTGTCTTTGTCATTTTTGTTGTTTCAAAGGCTTTCATTCATATGGTTGGTCAGTCAGTCATTCCACAGACCTTTTTTTTTTTTTTTTAAAGATTTTATTTATTTGACAGAGAGAGACAGAGAGAGAGGGAACACAAGCAGGGGGAGTGGGAGAGGGAGAAGCAGGTTCCCCGCAGGGCAGAGAGCCCGATGCGGGGCTCGATCCTAGGACCCTGGGATCATGACCTGAGCCGAAGGCAGACGCTTAACGACTGAGCCACCCAGGCGCCCCTCCACAGACCTTTTTAAGCATCTTTGTTTTCTAGACACTGTATTAGGTCTTGGAAGTAAGTAGAGGAAGACATAGTCCCTGGGATCACGGGGTTTAGGGTCTAGCAGGGGAGATAGATACGGGAATGGGTAATTGCAGTAGTACAAGAATGAGGGCTATGGTAGGAACTGGTGATGAAGTGGGGAACCGGAGACCAGACGTAAGGGAAGGCCTCCTAGAGGGTGCTGGCTGAGCAACGCGCAGGGGACTGCTCCTGTGCGAACAGACTGAGGCATTACAGTACTCGGAAAAGCCCTGGAACTGTTCACTACGGCCATAGTGGAAGAATGTCAGGAGACTGGAGGTAGCCAGGGCCCAGATGTTGGAATGCTTTGTATGCCATGCAAAAGAACATGGAATTCTGGATTTTGTTCTTTAAGTTAGTGATTTTTTATTATTGTTGCTCGAAGCCACATAACCCTTTTTGTCATTTTTAAAGATATTTATTTATTTGAGATAGAGCACAAGCGGGCAGAGAGGCAGAGGCAGAGGGAGAAGCAGGCTCTCCGCTGAGCAGGGAGCCCGATGCGGGGCTCGATCCCAGGACCCTGCGATCATGACCTGAGCCGAAGGCAGACGCTTAACGACAGAGCCACCCAGGCGCCCCCATGATCTTGATTTATATACTAGTTTACTCAAATCTTTTTCTATTACTGGGTAAGAAATAAAATTTTCAACTACAAAGTTTTATATTTCTGTTTCCTTTTGAATGTTCGTTGTGGAGAAGCGAACATTACATTAACTTATGAATACTGCATTAAAAACGTAGTGATTTCATACAAATAACACATTTTTATATAACCTCTGTACCAAAAAAAGAAAAAAAAATCATTTTTTAAATGTTAATCTAAAAATAAGCAGAGTAGCAGGTATTGGAGAGAGAAGTTATTAACAAACTGTAAAACTGTTGAGTGTGACACCACAATGTATTCTTAAGTGCTTTTTAAGAAACTTTTGTTATAATGTAGGAAAGAGGCTGAGCAGGAGGCAGTTAATATTTAGTGAATAATGACGTAAAACATTTGAGCCTTTTAAGATGTCACATTTTCTCATATGTGTCTTTACAGATGTAAAGACAAGTCTTACCCTGTGGACCTGCCAGTCGCTAGTGTTGTTATCTGTTTCTACAACGAAGCCTTGTCTGCCTTGCTCCGTACTGTGCACAGCGTCCTAGACCGCACACCAGCCCAGCTCCTTCATGAAATCATCCTTGTGGACGATGACAGTGACTTCGGTAAGGGATGTTGTAGCTGATACTGTGGGATCTGGGCTGTTGATCACGGTAGGATTAGCATCAGCAGCATCAGCTGACAGTTCAGACGGGGGTGGGACCCTGGTCCACACAGTTGCAGTAGAGTTAGCAACAAGTAAGTATCTGTTTGTTGATTAGAGGATAATTTTGAGGAAACAGCATGAGCTTTGTGATCTTTTTACAGACTGTGCTATTTTAAGTTTGGCCCTTGAAATTTTTCCCTTGGCGTACATTCTTAAAAAATGTTTATTTCAAAATAACTGTAGATTAGTAACAGTGGGTTACAAAGAGGTCCTGTTTCCCCTTCACCTAGTTTCCCCCATTGGTATAGTTAATGTGGTTACAGGGCAACATCAAAACCAGGAGTTGATATCGGTACAGTGTGTGTGTACAGTTCTGTGTCATTTTATCCTGTGTGTACGTTCCTGCAACCACCATTGTGGTCACGATAAAGACGACTCCATGACCGCGAAAATCCCCCTCGCGCTACCTTCTAATACTCACAGCCACCTCCCTGACCCACTCCATCCCTAATCCCTGACAGCCTTAATCTCTGTGATTTTATTTCTTTCTCTGATTTTGTCATTTTAAGAATGGTTGCATAAATGGAATCATACAATATGTGACCTTTCAACATTGGCTTTTTTCTCTTGGTGTAATGCCTTGGGCTTATATTTATCTAATGAGTCTGTTATATGAACTATCCCCAGATAAAAGTGGATTGCATTGAGATAGCTCTTAGATGATCTCTGAATGCCAGTGTTTTATGATTCGGTATTTATACACTTTTTTTTTTTTTTTTAAGATTTTATTTATTTATTTGAGAGAGAGAGAATGAGAGACAGAGAGCATGAGAGGGAGGAGGGTCAGAGGGAGAAGCAGACTCCCCGCTGAGCAGGAAGCCCGATGCGGGACTCGATCCCGGGACTCCAGGATCATGACCTGAGCCGAAGGCAGTCGCCCAACCAACTGAGCCACCCAGGCGCCCCTATTTATACACTTTTAAAAAATGTATTGAAATATAATCGACACACCGTTTTAGATTTGTTTTAGTTGTACAACATATTGATTCAACAGTTCTGTACATTACTTAGTGCCCACCACAATAAGTGTAGTCATCATCTGTCACCATTACAGTGTTACTACAACATTGACTATATTCCCTCTGCTGTATTTTTTCATCTCTGCGACTTATTTTGTAACTGGAAATTTGTATTTTATATACCTTTCTTCAGTTCAACATAGACCTCTTAAGAATGGTTTCATGTACACACAGAAGACTCTTTATGCTACTCATTTGGCTCTAAGCTACCTTAAGAGATAGGTTGTATCCTCATTTCATAGAGGAGGAAATACTAAGTAATTTGCTTGAGGTCCCATAGCTGTTAAGTGGTAGAGCTGAAATTAGACCCCTGGTCCACATAGGTCTAAGCCTTCTGCTCTTTTCATTACAGCAAGCTGCAGAAGTACATTAATAAATTGTATGCATGATAAATTGTATGCCAGTTACAGATTTTTCATTACTCAAGAGCTTATTAGCAACTCTTATCAACAACAGAATTGGTCTACCAGTTGAATATATAAAGCAAAGAAATGTACACTGAGCCCAATGGGAACAAAATGCTTACACCTTGCAAATATTGAAACAGCACAAGAGAAATTTAGAAAGGTTAATAGAAAACAAAACTTAATTTCAAAAATGAATAATTAAAAAGCCAAGATTGTGAGTCTGCATCAAATAGAAGACTGGCTAAGTACTAAATTATAGAATTTACAGTGGTGAATTTTTTTTAATCTGTATTTTGTTTTTCAGTTTATAGCTATTTTTCAAAGTGAAAACTCATGATAACTTAGAATGGTTTATCTACTAACAATGGAAAGAATTACTTATATGCTCTCCGAAGTTATGAAATTTAAAGGTAAATGAGCTAGAATTTTTAAAAAATATTTAGTGCCCTTGGAAGGTACTAAATTAATAAAAGGACCTATTTACTGCTGTTATTATATAATTCTTGGTAGGGGCAATAGAAGTTGTTACAACTATTCTGAAATGGAGTAACAGTAAATTACTTTGAAACAAAAGACACACCTCATTTTTTTGGTTTTAAATCTGATTGAATGCAGTCAGCTGAACATTCAGTCACTCAAGGTAAGTATTCTTCTTGGCTAGTGTTTCAACTCTTAACCCTTCATTTCTTTACTTTTTCTTCCTTACAAGATAAGTTATTATATTTTTTTTAAATAAAGCAGCAGAAGATTCTATATTTGATAATTTAAGCACCAGATACAATCTTAGAGTAGCTATAAAAAAAAAATCTTTGTATATGTCTCTTGTGGTTTTATTATGGGACTCTATTTTCAGATGATCTGAAAGGAGAACTAGAGGAATATGTCCAAAAATATCTCCCTGGAAAAATTAAAGTAATAAGAAACCCAAAGCGTGAGGGATTGATTCGAGGAAGGATGATTGGAGCAGCTCACGCTACAGGTATAACTTCTGCTGCTCTTCTCAGTGGGTGTTGGCAACAAGGGCTTTGTCCTTGGTCTTTCCTGATTGTGCTGAGATCTGTGAAAAGTGATAGGAGGCTTGTTCACTTTGGAAAGGGTTTCTTTATAACTCTACCCCGGTTGTCCCAAAACAGACTCCAAGGAGGTGAGCTCTAGAGTCCAAGCTGGTCTGTTTTCATAGTGGCCCTTATTGCGAATTATTGTTCCTCATGTAGGTCTGTATCTTGCTTACTTATATAAGGAGAAGAGTAAAACAATATGTAACTGAACTTTGTAATTTTTTTTACTTTTAATTTTTTTTTAAAGATTTATTTATTTGAGGGCGCCTGGGTGGCTCAGTCGTTAAGCGTCTGCCTTCGGCTCAGGTCATGATCCCGGGGTCCTGGGATCGAGCCCCGCATCGGGCTCCCTGCTCAGCAGGGAGCCTGCTTCTCCCTCTCCCACTCCCCCTGCTTGTGTTCCTGCTCTCGCTGTGTCTCTCTGTCAAAAAAATAAATAAAATCTTTAAAAAAAAAAAAAGATTTATTTATTTGAGAGAGTGAGCAAGCATGCAGGGGAAAGGGGCAGAGGGAGAAGGGAGAGGGAGAATCTGCAGCAGACTCCATACTGAGTGCAGAACCTGACAGAGGTTTCAGTCCCATGACCCTGAGATCATGACCTGAGCTGAAATCAAGAGTCAGATGGCCCTTCAACAGACGGAGCCGCCCAGGTACCCCTGTAATTTTTTTTAAATACAAAATTTAAAATATGTGTACTTAGACTGTTTGATTTGAGTTATGCCAATAATTCTCAAGTACAAATACATACCTCTGGTGATAATGCATCATGGTTTTTGTTGGATAAATGGACATAATGTTGAAAATTGAGTTACAGGGGTACCTGGCTGGCTCAGTCAGTAGAGTGTGCGACTCTTGATCTCTGGGGTTATAAGTTCAAGCCCCATGCTGGTGTGGAGATTACTTAAAAAATAAAATCTTTAAAAAATAAAATAAAAATAAAAATTGATTTATAAAACTATAAAGGTACTTTCTTTAAAATTCTCTCTCGGGGCGCCTGGGTGGCTCAGTTGGTTAAGCGACTGCCTTCGGCTCAGGTCGTGATCCTGGAGTCCCGGGATCGAGTCCCGCATCGGGCTCCCTGCTCGGCAGGGAGTCTGCTTCTCCCTCTGACCCTCCCGACCCTCCCCCCCTCTCATGCTCTCTCTCTCTCAGTCTCTCTCTCAAATAAATAAAAATCTTTAAAAAAAAATTCTCAATCCTTCTGATTCCATCGAAGATAAAGTCTCCATTACAAATTACATCTTTAAAACATTTCCAGTGTATACTCATCTCCCCTTAGAAAAAGAAAGAACAGGGGGGCGCCTGGGTGGCTCAGTTGGTTAAACGTCTGCCTTTAGCTCCTGGGCATAAGCAGGGAGCCTGCTTCTCCCTCTCCCTCTCCCTCTGCCCCTCACCCCTCCTTGTGCTTTCTCTTTCTTGCTCTCTCTCAAATAAATAAATAAAATCTTTAAAAAAAAAAACAACTGGTATCAAATTTAGTCTTTTGCAGAAAATATATCTGGTCAGTCCTCCGTTACCTGACCTTGAATCCATTGTTATTTCTTTTTGCGGTTGCCTTTGTAAGGTTAGTGATCCTGATTTTCATTTATGATCTTTTTTTTTTTTTAAGATTTTATTTATTTATTTGAGAGAGAGAATGAGACAGAGAGAGAGCACATGAGAGGGGGGAGGATCAGAGGGAGAAGCAGGCTCCCTGCCGAGCAGGGAGCCCGATGCGGGACTCGATCCCGGGACTCCAGGATCATGACCTGAGCCGAAGGCAGACGCTTAACCAACTGAGCCATCCAGGCGCCCTCATTTATGATCTTGATAAAATTTTCCTTTTAAAATTTTATTTAAGTTAAATGAATCAGTTTTAAAATATTAGGTGTATAATAGTGCAGGTAGTGTATGGTTGTGGCAAAAAAACCCCCCATGAAGGTAATTTGAGAATTCCAGAACTTGAGTTGGGGCCTTGTAGTGACATCTCCCACCTTCCCTGTCTGCCCCGTGCATCAAGATAACCGGTCACGAGGGTTTACAGTGGCTGCACTGCTTTGTCTGCCACCCTCCTGCACACCCGCTGGCCTACTTGCTGAGTGTAGGCGGGACTTCGTGTTTTAGTCTTTCTTCCCTCCTTTCTCTTAAAGCCACAACAAACTGAAGTAATTCACAGGCATCCAGTCTACAGTCATATGTAGAATGAATTCAAGGCCTATGATTTTTTCTTTAGAAGTCTAGTCAAATAAGTACCTAATGACTTGGCTGAGTTGAGATAAAGAGAAAATTGTGGGGAATGGCAAGATTATGCCATTCAAAATGTCCTGTTACATTATTACTGAAAGTTTGTATTTTTCAGATAACAATAGTTTTTTTCTTTATGGTCTTTTGGTCCTTGTTCAAATGTAGTTTAGGGTTTGTCAGAAGCAACTGAGGGTTGCAGAAGGGGAGGGGGTGGGGGGATGGGGTACCTGGGTGATGGGCATTAAGGAGGGCATGTGATGGGATGAGCACGGGTGTGTTACACGCACCTGATGAATCACTGAACACTCCATCTGAAACTAACGATGTACTATATGTTGGCTAGTCGAATTTAAATAAATTTTAAAAAATGAAAAAAGAAGCAAGCCAGTTTTGGGGAAGTCAGTCTCAGGTTCAGCGTAACCAGGTATAATCTTACTTCCTTTAGTTAAATCAAAAAAAGTAACATTTTTAGAATTAAGAAAAGCTATGAATACCTTTTCTCCTCAAAGGAACCTTGATTGAATTGACTTCACTTCACCTTGAATAGTGTATAGGCTGAGCATTTTGCCTTTCTGTATTAAAGGACATCTGGTGAGCTTTCTTGCCTGAGGTATTTCTGCTATCATTAGTTGAAGTAGGATGCATCTTATTAAAATAGGTGCTTTTAAGGAATTCATAAAAATCTATATTGATGCATTTCATGGATAAACCTTTAGAAGAAGAATAATGCCACCTGGTGATGAGATTCTAAGTTTCTCAGTTGCTAAGAATCACCATAAAGTTATCAAAGAAATTTGGAATTATCAAAGAAACCCGCACTTCTGCTCACGTTTATCAAAAGGAGTTAAAAATGTTGGATAAAATCGTTATGATTTTTATTTTACTAGCTAGAAGAAAAGCTATCCCATTGGCTCACGAGAGCCGTTACAGCCAACCAGGTTGGGGAAAGGAAGGAAAGGCGGCAAATGGAAGAAGAAATGAGCATGTGGCCATTGAGTGGTGACTTCAGAGGACAGGGGAGCCCATGTCCCTGGCATGGCGGAAGGGGTACATGGTTCTCGCACTCCTGAGAGAACTGCTGTGTTGTGGCGATGGTCGATAATGTGGTCATGTTTCTGAGTCACCAGTGGAAACAGTTAATGTTCTCTAGCCTCTGTTCACTAAGGCAGGGAAATGTATCCTAAATTTAGAATTTTTTTTTTAGAGAAGGGGGAGGGGCAGAGGGAGAGGGAGAGAGAGAATCTCAAGCAGACTCCCTGCTGCTGAGCGCAGAGCCCAACTCGAGGCTCGATTCCCAACCCCAAGATCATGACCTGAGGCGAAACCAAGAGTTGGACGCTTAACCGACTGCGCTACCCAGGTGCCCCCAAATTTAGAAATATTTTGATTGCGGTAAGTGTAATAATAACTACACACAAGTGGCCACTGTCCCTGCACCGCACCCCATACCTTTCTGTCCAACGAACAGAATTGTTCCTGTGAGACTTTGAATCTTTTCACTGAGGAGAATCGGAATTTACGTGTACATGTTTCTCAGTCATAGCAGTACAGTTGAGGCAGAATTCCTGGCTAAAAGTCCTCCTCTCTTCCTGATTGGCCGTAGAGTAGTGGAATAATTGTTGGGCTGGAGGGGTGGCGATTATATTTCATACCATGTGAACGCGTCGTCTGACCGAACTGGCGGCCATACCTCAATGGAGGGCTGGTCCTCTGTTTGCCTCCTCAGGAGAAGTCCTGGTGTTCCTGGACAGCCACTGTGAAGTAAACGTGATGTGGCTGCAGCCCTTGCTGGCTGCCATCGAGCAGGACCAGCGGACCGTGGTGTGCCCTGTCATCGATATCATCAGCGCGGACACGCTCGCCTACAGCTCGTCCCCTGTCGTGCGGGGAGGTTTCAACTGGGGTCTGCACTTCAAGTGGGATCTTGTTCCCCTTTCTGAGCTCGGAGGACCAGCAGGAGCTACTGCACCAATAAAGTGAGGTTTCTCCTCTAGATTTGAAAAGTTCCTGTCAGTACTTCTTCAAAAGAGAATCCGTTCTTCGCAGGGAGCGGAAGTGTTGGCTTAATTTGTCCGCTAGAAATTCTTGAGTGCTCACTGAATTTTATATGCTGTGCCAACTCCTAAGGAAAGATTTGTGAATTCGGAATTATTCGTGTCCTCAAGGATGTATCACTTAGAAGGGCAGACAAATAAGAGCAGTATCTTGGGATAATGGTTGCATAGGATAACGGTGTTTTTTATGCTGACTATCATGGTTTATTGCCTTTGTCATCTGCTTACCTTCAGTTCTTTGCTAGTATGAGTGGTGTTGTGAAGAACATTTGCTATATAAGCCTTCTCTATAATTAGGATTTTTAGGATGGATTCCTGCTAGTACAGTTAAAAGTCACAGTGTAGAAATTATTTTCAGTTCTCATTCATATTCTCAATGTTACAAATCTGCTTATATATTATTTATTATTTTTTGTTTTAAATTTCTCGTGGATTTCAGAGAGGTTTGTCTGTTTCTACTTTTTAACATTCTTGGACCTACAGTTTTGTTTTTTTTTTCACTTGTGACAAAATAGCATATATAAAAAGTACACATAGGTATGTATGTATTATGCACACAATTTAATAAATGGTTATAATAACATCTGTGCAGTTACCACCCAGGTCAGGACACAGCACCCAGATGCCCTCTGTACCCCTGTTCCTAGTCACAGCCCCTGGCCCTAGAGCTGTCATTACCCTGACCTGGTGATCATTTCCTCGCCTTCCTGGAGTTTTACCATCTCTGCGTGCATCTCTAAACAATATAGTTCAGTTTTGTCTGTTCTTGGACTTGGTATAAAATGAAGCCATTGGACTCATTTTGTCTTGCTGCTTTTACTCAACATTGCTTTAAAAAATTCATCTGTATTACAGTGTATGGCTCTACTTTATACAGCAGTGAAAGAGGATCATGTTCTATGATATGTTCTGTCCAAACTTACCCAGTTTACTGTTGGAGGGCAGGTTGGGCCGTTTTCACTTGTCTTTCTTTAATGTCACAGATGGTGCTGTGACCAGCACCGTTATTCCCACCTCCTAGTTTAAGAAGAAAACTGCCTGGTTGTGGGGCATGCCTCTTTTTACCTTTAGGAGATGATGTTTTCCCAGCACTTCAGGTGGCTCTGCAGTTGGCCTGTGGGGACTTGCCAGCTTCCTTTCATCTGACCCAGACTTGGAGGGAGACCTCGGCCAGTTCCTGGGGCCTGATGTGGTCTGCTGGCCGAGCGGGGCCGTCTTCTGCTCTCTCGTGCTTTGTGTGAGAATCTGCTGCAGCTCCTGCTAAGTTGTGTCAGAACCTGACACTCGGGAAAGCAGGGCTGCATCTGGGGACTGTCCGTCTGTGTTTCTGGTCTCTACAGCCGCTCGTCCTGTGATTGGAGGCAGGCAGCGGTGACTCCATTTTGTCCTCCCAGCTGTCCGTGGTGCTCTCTGTGACAAGGTAAAGACGCACCGCGCAGGAAGACGGTGCCCCGGCTGCTGCTCGCTCTCTGCGTTCGTGCTCCTGCCAGTTCTTGCCTGTTTCACCGTCTTTGTGGGCGTTGGTTGTCATCGTTTAATTTTTAATACTTTTAATCACAAACATGTATTCAGTAACAAAATAGTATAGAAGAACTTTGGATGAGGAGTGGCTGGCTCCCTCCTCGCTCCCTGTTCTCAGTCCTTCTCCCCAGAGGCTAATTCTTATCACTTTTTATTTTGGGTCTTCCATTTATTGCTTTTTTCACTCTAGATGAATAACCTATTCCTCTTTTCAATGTCAAACTGACTTTAGGTCCTTTCTGTGGGCAAAGTGAAGATTTTGTTCCTCTGTGTCACTGTCTTCTCCTCTCTGGCCTGGTGATGTAGTGTGCACGTTTCTGTTGGTAGCGGGAGAAAGCGGCACTCGAGGACTGGGACAGCACCATCTGACCCTCCTCCTCGCATGGCGAGCACATTAGTGCCCCTTCCTCCTCCTGCCGCTTTCCCCCACTTTTCTCCCAGTTCTTCTGTGAGTTCTCTCACTTTTGGGATTTCAGGGTTGCTAACTTCTTAAGGTGGATGTTTAGATTTTTAAATTGTTCATCATTTTTCCTTTCCTAATACAGTTATTGAAGGTGATAAACTTTCTTCTAACCATGGCTTTAGCTGTATCCCACAAATTACTATTTTTTGTGATTTTTTTTTTAAATTTTAAAAGATTTTATTTATTTGAGAGAGAAAGAGAGAGAGAGAGGAGCATGAGAGGGGGGAGGGTCCGAGGGAGAAGCAGACTCCTTGCTGAGCAGAGAGCCTGATGTGGACTCGATCCCAGGACTCCAGGATCATGACCTGAGCCGGAGGCAGTCGCTTAACCAACTGAGCCACCCAGGCGCCCTTTTGTCATTTATTTTAAAATAGTTTCATTGTGACGGTTTTTCTGACCCATAGGTTATTTAGCAGTACATTTATTATTCCCCAGGTATATGAGGATTTTATAATTGTGTATTCCTAGCTTTTCACTGTGATCAAAAAATATTCTGTATGGTTTTAATTCTTCGAAAATTGGTGAGATTTGCTTTGTGGCCAAGCACATGAGTAATTTTTGTAAATGTTCTTTTTGTGCCTGGAAAATTTGTATTTTCTGTGGTTGTTAAAAAATGGGATTCTATATCAATTCAGTCAAGTTTATTATATTATTCAGATATTCTGTACTTTTGTTAATTCTTTAAAAAACTATGGAAGCATAGTTGACATGTAGTGTTATATTAGTTTCAGGTGCACGACATAGCAGTTCAGTGGTTCTGTGCATTACACAGTGTGCACCGTGATAAGTGTAGTTACACTTGTATCAGTTATTAAATATGGTATATTAAAGTTTCTCACTGCAATTGTGTATTTGTTTCTCCTTGTAGTTCTTTATCTGTTTTCTTCATATGTTTTGAGGCTGTCTTCTGTCTCCATAGACGTCTGAAAATTTGGAGTTATTAAATTATTAGATCTTGTGAATGAAACCATTTATTCTAGACTTTCAGAATAGTAAAACTTTTGCATTATAGTGACATTAATATGGCTATTTTAGCTTTGTTGTAATATTTGCATCGTGTAACTTTCCTTTTGTTGTCAGTCTCTGTGGTCTTCTGTTTCGATGTGTCCCTTGCAAGGAGCATGTAGTTGCTTTTGTATTATGATTTGTTGCTAAACCAGTGTGAAAAACTTCCTTTTACTCCAGTTGATTACATTGAATATTACTTGTATTTTGTGCTTATGATTACAGTGGCACTGTGGTCTTTTCTTCCCCTTCCTCTCTTGCTTTCTTTTGATCTTGAGTTTGGATTTTTTATTATTCTGTTCCCAACTGCCACCCCATTATTAGATGTTATATGTTCTTAATACTACTCTTGTAGTGATTACCATAGAGAATACGGCGTACATTCTTGCAACATAATTTGGTACTTCAAACAATGCAGGGTTCTGAGAATGTTCATTCTCCAGTTTATCTCCCCTCAGTTTATATTGTTGAAGTGTGTGTGTGTGTTTTAACCCTACAAGACATTTTTTATGTGGCCATTATTCATCTAGGTTTACCCACATACTTCCCCTTTTATTTTACTCTTTATTCTCTCTGCATCTGCAAACTTCCATATGGGATTATTTTCATTCTGACTAAAGAAGACATTTTAAATGTATTTCCTTTGGCTGGACCTTCTGGTGATTACTTCTCTCTGGCTTTTTGTAAAAATGTCTTCCTTTCACGATTACTTTGAAGTATAATTTTACTTCATACCCATTTCTACGTTGGTGGGTAGATTCTTGGGGCTTTGAAGGTAATCATTCAAGAACCACTGGCTTCCACTGTTTGGTGAGAAGCCAGCAACACTCTTATTTTTGAAGGCAGCCTCTCATTGGCTGCTTGAATTTCTTCTCTTTGTCAGAAGGGTTTTTCAGATATGCATAAATTTGGTTTCTTTTTTGATTATATCTAGCTATCTGCCAAATTTTGCATCTTGTCTTTTATCCTTGCATATATTGAGCAGTTATTTTAAAGTCTCTGCCTGATAACTACATTATTTGAAACCCCTGCACATCTGTTTGTCTTGTAGATTGTTTCTCTTGTTTTTCTTTCATGTGCTTTATCTTCCTGATTGCCTGGTTATTTATTTGTTTAGTTGCTTATTTACTTTTGCTTGGTGGCGGACACTGTCATGAAAAATTATGGAAATACATTCATACCTGAGATGGTGTTTTCTGCCTGCAGAGAAGTTTTGCTTCACTTCTAGCAGGGAGCTTGGGACGCTGAAATCCACCATCACCTTAACTCAGTTTCAGGAAGTGAGACAGCTGGAAGCTGAGCTTGTGTCTCCTTGAGGGCCAGGCTCCTTCACATTCTCTCATTAACAGTCGCAGTCTTAGCAGTATTGACGTTTTGGGCCAGATCCTTCTCTGTTGTGGGCGCTCTGTTGTGCATTTTAGAATATGCAGTAGCGTGCTCGGCTGCAGCCCATCAGTTGCCGTAGAACTCCCTCCGCCCCCATTGTGACAACTAAAAATGTTTCCGGACATTAATGAAATGTTTGCTTGGGGACAGAATCATCCTGTTTGAGAGCCACTGGTCTAAGTCAAAGTTTGTCTGGTCTCCCCTTGGTAGGCTCTGGAGTCCAGTTTTTATCCCACTGTTCTGTGAGACTGTCAGAAGGAATTAATTCATACCTCTTTCTAAGAACAGTGTTATAATTTAAAAAGTACTTTTGATGCTTAGAAAAGTAGCCTTCATTTGCCAGATATCTAGTATATCATTGGCGATCTAGGAAATTCAGTTACGTGGCCCAGCTCATTCCCTGATGTTAGATAAAATGTTTCATAATGGTTAATCTGGTTTTCATTAGTGATGTTACAAAGGTGTGCTGAATTTTTTTTAAAACAAAGATGATAGATAATTGGCTGTGTAGAATTGGTACAGTAATTATTTCCTTTTCTAGGTCACCTACAATGGCTGGAGGATTGTTTGCCATGAACAGACACTATTTCAATGAACTTGGACAGTACGACAGTGGCATGGATATATGGGGAGGAGAAAATTTAGAAATATCATTTCGGGTAATTTTTTCATCTTTAACTCTGTGTAGTAGAATATAATTTTCATCTACAATCTCATATTTTCTGTCAATTCTCTTTGATTATCTTTGTTAACAAATTGTCCTTAATGAATACTACTTCATCATAATCCGTGATGTGGATAATATCCATTCAAAGGGTGGAAAGTATTTAAGCAGCTTTATTTTATAAGAATTTGAAAAGGATGTAGTGAATGGTTGGGTATAATTTCAGCTGTCTAAACGTGCATTTATTTTTTTTTAAAGATTTTATTTATTTGACAGAAAGAGACACAGCGAGAGAGGGAACACAAGCAGGGGGAGTGGGAGAGGGAGAAGCGGGCTTCCGGTGGAGCAGGGAGCCCGACGCGGGGCTCGATCCCAGGACCCTGGGATCATGACCCGAGCCAAAGGCAGACCCTAACGACTGAGCCACCCAGGCGCCCCTAAACGTGCATTTAATCTAATTTTGTTCTTTGTCAGTTTATTAATCTTATTTGTTAACCCTAGACACATATATTTAGGGTGATTGGATTTCCTTGATTGCTCAAGACCATCCTGGTTCACACCTCTTCTCCCAGGAAAATTATTAATAGTTCCCTATCCCACTTTCAGAAGTAGCTAGCAGAATCCTTTACATATACAAGTCCGTCCAGCCCGAGGAAGGAATCAATCTTTCGTAATTGGGTCTCTTCTCCAGCTGCAAACGTTGGGAAGATGGTGGTATAGGTGGGGTCTGGAACTCCGGGAACTGGGGGTTGGAGGACAGTCTTTGCCAAGGGCAGAGTGAGGGCCCGGGAAAGAAGGCGGACCTCTGCGTACTAGCAGATGTCCTCACCTCCACTTCCCAGCTCCTGGGCTGCGCAGCAGAACCCCCACAATATCACAGTATGTTGTGCATTTGTCATTTTGTATTTTCGCAGTGTAATGACCACAGTGTTTTTAAAAGGTAGTTTTTCCTACATAGTCTTTAGAATTTTAAAGTTGAAAGAAATAATAGATATCGTTAGTTCAGTCCTATTTTGGACATAAGGTAATGGTGTCCCACAAAAACTAAAATAACCATATAAAGTAATCCAGATGGCCAAGCAGAATTTAGACGAGAACTAAGATCTTTTGAATCGTAATAGAATTATTCAGTATATTTCATTATTCCTGTATATATACATGTTATAAGAAAGTACCAGGAAACTGAGATTAGAGTACCAGCCAGTAAGCATTCTTTGTCCTTAAGTCCTGAGGATCAAGTTCCTTGATCTGTTAAAACAGCAAAGTACATGGTAAGTGCGATTTTAGACACAGAGTAGTAAAAGAATATTACACTTTTTTAGAATTTAGTTTCTTTTTAATCATAAAGACATATTTTTTTTAATGTACCCTTTGACTTTCTTGTATTTGATAGTTACATAAAACATCTTGCAAAGTCTCATAAGCACCTATTTAATAAAGATTAATTTCAAGAAAACACATACATTGATTTCATTGCAATGCGAGGCAACTATTAATACATATTTTGCTCCTGACCAGATTTGGATGTGTGGAGGTAAACTCTTCATCATCCCTTGCTCTAGAGTCGGACACATTTTCCGAAAAAGGCGACCGTATGGTTCTCCTGAAGGCCAGGACACCATGACCCACAACTCCCTGAGGCTGGCACATGTTTGGTTGGATGAATATAAGGTGAGATTCAGTTACTGTGTTGGAAGGGGCCACTAGGCTGTTGCTTCTTTGCAGACGGCTCTGCTTACCTGTCTTTTCACTCTGGCATGTTTCTGTGGGACGGCCATCCCTTTCTACATTTCTTTTTCCTCTCATTTTTTTGTTGTGACCCTTTTAATTTTCCAAGTGACCACTCTATAAAAGGAAATACAGCTTAACATCAGAAGAAATTCTCTTTTCAGTGTCTTTGTTCCTCTGACTCCCACAGAACGTGGCTCCTTTTCTTTGCTCCTTGGGCTTCGCTGTGTCGCAGTCTCACCACTTCCCCTGTTTAATCTGCACATGTAGTGTTCCTTCCCACTTTCTCTTCTGCTGTGATATTTCCTTTGTAACATCTTTATTGAGGTATAATTCACAAGTCATTTTATCACCCCAAAAAGAAACTCCATATCCTTTCAACCATCACTCCCTAATCTCCTGCAGCCCTAGACAACTACCTGTATGCCTCCTGACTCTCTAGATTTGCCTATTCTGAACATTTCCTACGAACGGAATCCTGCAACACATGGTCTTTTGTGACCATCTTAGTAAGCATGATGTTTTCAGGTTCATCCATATTGTACCATGTAGCGTTACTTCATTCTTTTTTATTGCCAAATAATATTCCATTGCGTGAATACACACTATCCATTCATGAGTTATGAGAAATGCTGCTGTGAACATTTGTGCACAGTTAATTTTTTTAAACAAGCGTTTGAACATCTACTATATACCAGGCTCTGTGTTGGGTTTTGGGAGAGTCAGAGATGGCCGAGGGAAGGCAGTAACTTCACATTGTGCAATACTGGGCGTGGAGGTATGTGCCATGTACTGTGGGGAGAACATCACTACTTGGTTTTGGTCATGCTCCTGGCACACTGCAGGTCTCCTCCCTTCTCCCCCTTCTAGACTCCGAGTTCGTTCTCCGTGTTCCTCAGCTTTGAGTCACACTGTCTCCCAGCAGCTCTCAGAAAGTGGTTCACAGGCCCATGTAAATCCTGGCCACCATTTCAGGAGGTTTGCCAGGGCAAAGCTGTTTTCATAGCCGGATAATACAGTATTTGCCATTTTCACCATGTTGACTTTGCACTGATGCTGCAAAGGCACCTGAGTGGCAGGAGTAATTGTGTTGAGTCTCGATGTGCTCCAGGTGCCGTGAGCACGCGGAGTGCGCAGAAGGCACCTTTTTTTTTTTCAAAGATTTTCATTTATGTATTTGTCAGAGAGAGCGCACAAGCGGGGGGAGCAGCAGAGGGAGAGGGAGAGGCAGGCCTCCCGCAGAGCAGGGAGCCCGATGCGGGGCTCGATCCCAGGACCCTGGGATCCTGACCTGAGCCGAAGGCAGACGCTTCACGACTGAGCCCCCCAGGCGGCCCAGAAAGCACCTTTGGCTGTAGACCGAAATACAGTGCTCGTTTCAGGGGAAGATGTGTGCAGTTGTTTGAGTTGTGAGCTGAACTAGTCACTTTTCTCCATGGAACACTTTTTATGTAAAAGAATGGCTCACAAACCATGGTTATTTATATTTGGATATTTGGCAGACATTCTCAAAAACGAACTAATAACTTAGCCTCTCACTTCAACTGTGATAGCATTTGTTGTAAGTGGAAAACTTGTATCCATCCCTGTGAGCTTGATGGCTTCCAGTACTTAAATGCTTATTTGATGAGATTAGGAATATTTATGAATAAAACATTTTATATTATATAATGACATTTGCCAGTATTTGGAACTTCACAACCCAGGGAGCAGTGTTTTCCAAATGACTAATGCATGATGGTATACAAATCTTGGATGGGTAAAAAAATCCATTCAAAGAGCAGGATAGAGCAGTAAATTTTAATGCAACGGTACAAAAACCTCAATGATATGATTTAAAGATTAGTTACAATGTGGAATATGAAAAGTTAGAGTTTTGGTAAAATACCAAAAAAAGAGGGGCACTTGGGTGGCTCAGTTGGTTAAACGAGATCAGGTCTTGATTCCAGGGTCCTGGGATCCAGCCCCGCATTGGGCTCCCTGCTCAGCGTGGAGTCTACATCTCCCTCTGCCTGCCGCTCCCCCTGCTCATGCTCTCTCTGTCAAATAAATAATAAAATATTAAAGAAATATGTCAAGAATAGCCGTAATTCTCTGAAACTGCTATTAAAATATTCCTTCCAAAAAAAATTCCATTTTAAACTATGTATTTTCATACACTCATATTTTTAAAAATATATTTAACCAAACAACATGACAGTAACAGGTTGAATGCAGAAATGAGAATTCAGCTGACTTCTTTTTAGCCAGACTCTGCACGTGTAAAGCTGTAAAACTGTGAAGCAGTGTCACTGTTCTCATTACATTTTTTGTTGTTCAGAGTGCGTTTATGTTGATGGGTAATGAGTTATTTTTAATGAACTAACAAATGTTTTAGCTTTTCATATGGTACATACCAGTAGATGCAACTCACACAAACAGAAGCTCCTTGGAGTCTTCATCTTTTAAGATTCCAGAGTCCTGACGGGAGTCCGAGAACCGCCAGCCTCAGCGTCACCTGCCTCGAGTCTGAGATCATGTTTTACATGTTTGCCGTTTCTGAAATTGGGATGTATCTTAGAATTTAAGATGTCTTACTGTCAGTGATGGACCTAACTGTGTGAAAATTTTATGTTGACATTTTTTGGCAAAATCAAGAAAACACGGTCATGAAAAATATTTTTGCTGATAATCCATTTTTTTTTCAGTTCTTTAAATGTCAGGTATAATTGGTAATACCCATTTTAAACAAAAAAGCTATTCTCTTATTTTTCACTTTTCTTTTTAAAATTCAGGAGCAGTATTTTTCCTTAAGACCTGATCTGAGGACCAAAAGCTATGGAAATATCAGTGAGCGTGTTGAATTGAGGAAGAAGTTGGGTTGTAAATCATTTAAATGGTATCTGGATAATATTTACCCAGAGATGCAGATATCTGGGCCCAACGCCAAACCCCAGCAACCCATTTTTATCAATAGAGGGCCAAAACGCCCCAAAGTCCTTCAGCGTGGAAGGGTAAGGAAGTAATATCATCAGAGTGTTTGATTAAAAGTTGTATGGTATAGTAAATGACAGTTTAGACTTCAAGTATCCTTTTAGTGATAGACTTTGGCTTGCTTCCATTGTATTCTTTTGGTGGGACCTTCCTCCACTCAGGACCTTAGAAATGTTAATATCTTCACTGTTAATGTTAACATCCTTCACCTGCAGCGGTAAAGAGCGCATGACTTCTATAAGATTGTGCTAGCTTCCAAAAGGATGGATATAAATGTGAGCAGACCATTAAAGGCACTGTGAGTGAGTATAAAACTCGTTTGGCAGAGACCAGTCCCAAAAGGAAAACAAAAGGAGAAATGGGGCCGCTCTCTGCTGTTGGACCGAAGCTCTGGAACCGGCTCCAGACAGCAGGTGAAAGATGGCGGCATGGCCTTCCGGCTCCAGCCGCTGGGCCGAGCGCTCATGTTTCTGTAGATGCTCCCTTTTGTTTCTGAAGGAGTTTCTTCACAGTTCTGTATCATGTTTAAATTTTAGGAGTCTAGTCATAAAATCATACCTTTTTCCTGAATCGCTTCTTAGAATTTGCTTTCTGAAAGTGTAGATACTCTGATTGTTGCCCAGTTTTCTTTTGTGTTAAGAAGTTGCTCCTTAGTATCGTTCATGATGCCATCTTTCCTTCCGTGATTGCTCACTAGAGCTTTCTCCTTCCTCTTACGAAATTAAAAACAAAGTCAAGGTGTTCTCTTTTTAAGGAAAAATGCGTATCAGGTTTGTCCATATAGTGGAAATTCTTTCCATTCTTGCCTCGTACATCTAAGCTCCTTTAACACTCACAGTAATCCTTTACCCAAACTAGATACGCTCTGTTGCTTTTCTGTGTCTCACCTCTGCAGTTCTTGATCTGTGTTTATCTCAGTTTAGCATGTACATTACATTCGGTTATGTACTGTGTGGTTTGTGCCTTTTATTATTTCCTCGATTTCATTTTAAGGTTCTTTAGGGCAGAGATGCTTTAATTTCCTTTCTCCCTTATAGTAGAATTAGTAAACCTATATCTTCAGGTAGAATTTCTACTTGACACTGCTTGCATATTTTGTTAAAGTTGCCTATAACCTGGAAGTCTGTTGTGATACCCTTATGTACTGAAGCTAGAATTTAGGAATTAAAAAATGCCTCTATTTTTATGACCTTTGAAATTCATAGCTTTGGAGTAATATTTTCACATTATCTAGCATTCTAAGGTGTCTTCTGACAAGAGCAATCTCTCCTTTTACAGCTCTATCACCTCCAGACCAACAAGTGTCTGGTGGCCCAGGGCCGCCCAAGTCAGAAAGGAGGCCTGGTGGTACTTAAAGCATGTGACTACAGTGACCCAAGTCAGGTGAGTCAAGTCTCTGGACTCAGCCAGTCCTTGGAAAGTGTCCTTCAGGGAAGGGAACTTGCTGGAGGTCCCTGAGGAGGGGACTGGAGGGGACCCTGAAGATTTTAATCTGACTTTCCTTAGATGATCTGGTTTAAGTTGGGAATGACTTTAGAGATCATGCAATACAACTGTTTTTGTCTCCTTTGTATATTTTTCCTCCCTTTGCTCACTATTTGTTAGAAGTACATGGAAAGCCTGAAAGCTCCGTGAAGGTTAGAAGAGGCAGAGGAACTTCCCCGTCCTTCTGGGCAAGCACATTAACTCTGCGAGAGATGAATTAATATCTTCTGTAGAGTTTCCTCTGAAATCACATTTCTGTGAGTTTTAGTAGTCCCATCAGAAGAAACCACAACAAAATATCAGTTCATTTCATTCACAGAATCTTTTCAGTGGTGTTAAAGTAGACCTAAAAATAAGCAAAAAACTTACGTGGGTTTGGAACTATAACTTCAGACTGACTTGTATCTGATAATGGCAGTCTAATCCCCTAGTTGAAGAACCTCATGCCTCTGTGGTGCTGAACACACGTCATGAGGAGGCGATTTTGTGCTCGCTTCGGCAGCACATACACAAGGAGGTGATTTTCATTTCTACTTGAGTGCTGGGGATGGTGTCACTCAAGATTAAAAAGGATAGATCACGTGTGTCCTCTGAAATTTCATAGAAGACCTTTTATTTCTAGGGGAGCCTGCAAAGGATGGAAGATGTTGTCCACACCGGAAAATAGGATCTAAAAGGGGTTTTGTGCTGTGTCTGGGTCTGAGAGGTATCAGGGTCGTGGACACTCTAGCGATGCTTTGGTGGTTTCCGTCACAGTGGGATGAGATAGTTGAGATTTGTTCCAGAAAATGGAAGAAATTTGAGGAGATGGAATTATACTCCTGTTTGTTGGGATCACATAGATTTGTACTAATACTGTAACCACCAGCCACCTGGAGCTCTTCACATTTAATTACAATGAAATTAACTATTTTCCTCAGTCATACTAGCCACATGTGGGTCCCATGTTGGACAACATAGGTTGTAAAACAGCATTGTTGCAGAAAGTTCTGTTTATAGAACTCTTCATGTTAATGAAGACAGCACACATACATTTTGGGCCTGGGGGCAGAAATACCAATGAGTAAAATAATTTGGAGACAAAAGTGTATTCCTTGTAGATTTAGTGAGGGTGCAGTTTGGAAAATAAGTTATTCCTCGCACTTGTCCAGTTCAGCCAATTTTAGGCCTTTGACCTGAAGATAATCTGAGAGACCATAGAGAAGACTATCCTCAAAGATCTGCACATCTAAAGAAAACCCTGCTTCTGGGCCCTCTGATGAAATCATCATCTCAGCCCAAATGCTGTCGTGATCTCGGATTAGAGTAGAACTTTCCCCAGGATGATGTAACATAGTGGCCCCCCCATAGCCCTGCCCAGCAGAAGAGGAACCTCTGTGAGCGAGCGCCTGTGTGCTTCTGTCCACAGGCCCGCGGGGCACCTCTGGGGCTGTGCCATCCAGGGATGGGCCCCGGGGATGGAGAGCACTGTGCGATTGTGAAGTCCTAGAACTGGAAAATGTCTACAGTCATGTGTTCAGTTACTTCAGTCAGTTAGGTTAAATTCAGCGAACAAAAGTTCACCACTGATTTCGGTTTCTTCCTGGGATCACACTTCATTTTCCTGTGTTCGGTTCCTTCCATTTTCAGATAACGGCGCTGATGCTGCCTGCGTGTGACTCAGGTTCGTTGGTCTTTCCCTGCTCTGAGGCCACCTAGAATAACCCCGTTCTTCTTCCACAGATACGTGACCTGGGGTGCAGTCTGAATTCCAAAATCTAAAGCGGACCTTGGAGTTTTGATCTTTGATTTTCTTCCTTAGATTTGGATTTATAATGAAGAACACGAGTTGGTTTTAAATAACCTCCTTTGCCTGGATATGTCAGAAACTCGCTCGTCAGACCCACCACGACTCATGAAGTGCCACGGGTCAGGAGGATCCCAGCAGTGGACCTTCGGGGTGAGGAGCTTGCTAGTGAGGATGGGAGTGTGTGAGGAGGCAGGCAGGGCTAAGGGTGGAGCATGGCAGATGCACTCCTCGTTTACCTTGTAGAAAGTAGTTCTGAGTTTGTAGTATCCCTTAGGTAAGTAAAGCATCTTGAGATATTCCACACCTCTTCTGGATTTCTGTATCCTCTCTACCACATTCTGGCAGCAAGGTTTTTAAATTAAAGCAATTAACTAGTGGTGTATTTTTCTTGCTACCTTTTTTCCAGAAGAGTAATCGGCTGTACCAGGTGTCAGTTGGACAGTGCCTGAGAGTGGTCGATCCACTGAGCCACAAAGGCTATGTTGCAGTGGCAATCTGTGATGGTTCTTCCTCACAACAGTGGCATCTGGAAGGTTAAAGTGGACGCTGTGGCTGGCATGGTAATTCATCAGTGTTTGCCTCCTCTGTAAGGTGTGAGGCTTGAGAAGTTGCTGGTACAAGAAAATCCCTGATTTCCTGATTAAGTAGAACCATTTTTGAGAGGATGAGACAGCAGATATCCTAGAGACTGGAACACAGAGTGATCATCAGAGTGAGGGAATCTGTTTTACCAAGACATTAACATCATTTCTGAGCTGCTAAGGAATTTCTTGCTTATGGTGAGAAACTAGAATACAATTTTAACTCTCTAAAGGGTCAGGTTTGCACAGAAGGACAAACCCAGGAAATTGACATTTCTGTTCAAACTTATTTATGCTTTTTAATCCTTTTAATAATGGAATGGCATTTGTCTGATCAGGAACTTGTCATGATTTCCTTTTTTAGAAGGACTGCATAGGAAACAATTTTTTTTTACTTCTATTATCATGTCCTAAATAATTTTAAACAAACTGAATCCACATTACTTTTAACTTCAGAAGGCCTCATTTATAAGATTATATATTTAAGAGGCAGTTAACTATTATAAATTATTTTGATGAATTATGGTACTATCGACATTTAAAATAAAGGGTCCTTTTGATGACTTACGTGGGACTTTTGGTCTGCTCTTGTATTGGGGTCTCTGATCTGTGTTGTGCTGTGTATATCATATGGTGAGCAGGATACCTGGGTTCAGCTAATGAGCCAATAAACTAGGTCACAGCACCATTCCTTAGCTTGAACTTTGTGAATTTGATGCTGAAAGTCTGTGAATTTGGATAGTTTCTACTGCCTATGAATCATCCAGGTAGAGTTGTTAAATAGGCATTTGTTATAGAGGTCAGGATCCCAGAACATAGATCTCAGAAATACAAATTTAGATTACTTATGCAGTTTCACTGCTGGTAATTGGTCTGTTCAAATTTTCTATTCCTGCTTCAGTTTTGGTATGTTATGTTTCTAGGAATTTATCTTTCTTCTAAGATGTCAAATGTGTTGGCATATCATAGGTTTTCATAATCTGTTACAGTTGTATTTCTGTGGTATTGGTTGTTATTTCTCCTCTCTCATTAGTGCCTTTGTTAATTTGGGTCCTTTTTTTTTTTTTTAAATGAGTGTGACTAGAGAATGATAATTTTATTCATCTTTCCAAAGAACCAGTTCCTGGTTTCATTGAGCTGTTCTCTTGTTTTTTTAGTTTCCATATCCTTTATTTCTGCTCTGATCTTTATTATTTCCTTCCTTTTGCTGGGTTTGGGTTTTGTTTGTTCTTTTTCTATTTCCTTTAGGTGTAAGGTTAGGTGGTTTATTTGAGATTTTTCTTGCCTCTTGAGGTAGGCCTGCATTACTATATACTTCCCTCTTAGAAGCACTTTTGCTGCATCCCCAAAATTTTGGACTGTTGTGTTTTCATGTTCATTTGCTTCCATGTAATTTTTTATTTATTCTGTGATTTCTTGGTTGACCCATTCATTTCTTTAGTAGCATGTTATTTAGCCTTCATGTATTTGAATTAACCTCCATGAAATTGAACCTATAATCAAAAAAAACTCCCAAAAAACAAAAGTCCAAGATGAGACAGCTTCACAGGCAAATTCTACCAAACATTTAAAGAAGAGTTAATACCTATTCTCAAACTTTATTCCAGAAAATAGAAGAGGAAGGAAAACTACCAAATTCATTATTTGAGGCCAGTATCACTGTGATACCAAAACCAGATAAAGACACCACAGAAAGAGAACTACAAGCCAGTATCTGTGATAAATATAGATGCAAAAATTCCTCAACAAAATATTAGCAAACCTAACCCAACAATACACTGAAAAATCATACACCAGGATCAAGTGGGATTTATTCCTGGGATGCAAGGGGTTCAGTATTCACAAAACAAACAACAACATGATACATCACATCAGTAAGAGAAAGGATAAAAATCATATCATTTCAATAGATGCAGAAAACAGCATATGACAAAGTACAGCATCCATTCATGATATAAACCCTCAACAGAGTAAGTCTAGAGGGAACTTTTTAGAGGGAACATACCTTAACATAGTAAAGACCTTATATGAAAAATCCAGAGCTAACATCATATTCAGAGGTGAAAAACATAGCTTTTCCCCTAAGGTCAGGAATAAGACAAGGATGTCTACTCTCACCACTTTTATTCAACATTATTCAACTGGAAGTCCTAGCCACAGCAGTTAGGCAACAAAGAAATAAAAGGCATCCAAATTGGTGAGGAAGAAGCAAAACTCTATTTGCAGATGACATGATACTATCTATATACAGGACACCCAAAAGACCACCAAAAAACCACTAGAACTGATAAATGAATTCAGTAAAGTCACAGGATACAAAGTCCATGTACAGAAACCTGTTGCATTCCTATACACTAATAATGAAGCAGCAAAAAGTGAAATTAAGAAAATCCCATTTATAATAATTGCACCCAAAACAATAAAATATTTAGTAACAAACTTAACCAAAGAGGTAAAAGACCTGTACTCTGAAAATTATAAAATATTGATTAAAGAAATTCAAGATGACCCAAAAAAGTGGAAAGACATCCCATGTTTATGGACTGGAAGAACAAATAATATTGTTAAAATGTCTGTACTATCTAAAGCCATCTACAGATTTAATGCAATCCCTATCAAAATAACAAAAGCATTTTTCACAAAACTAGAACAGTCCTCTAAAATTTGTATGGAATTCTAAAAGACCCCAAATAGCCAAGGCAGTCTTGAAAAAGAAAAAACTGGAGGTATCACAATTCCAGATTTTGAGTTCTATTACAAAGTGGTAGTAATTAAAACAATATGATACTGACATAAAAATAGATCAGTGGAATAGAATAGAAAATGCAGACGTAAACCTACAATTATATGGTAATCTTCAACAAAGAAGGAATAAATACAACAATGGGAAAATTTTTCTTCAACAAATGTGGTTGGGAAAACTGGTCAGCTATAGGCAAAAGAATGAAACTAGACCACTTTCTTTCACAATAAAACAAAAATAAAGTCATATTGGATTAAAGACCTAAATGTGAGACCTAAAACCATAAAAATCCTTGGAAGAAAGCACAGGCAGTAATTTCCCTGACATTGGTCATAGTAACATTTTTGTAGATACAGTCTCCTGAGGCAAGGGAATTAAAAGTAAAAAAATTATTGGGAGTACATCAAAAGGTTTTTACACAGTGAAAGAAATAAAACTAAAAGGCAACTTACTGATGGGAGAAGATATTTGCAAATGACATATCCAATAAAGGGTTAGTATCCAAAATATATAAAGAAAGAACACAACTCAACATCATCCAAAAAACAATCCAATTAAAAATGGGTAGGGGCGCCTGGATGGCTCAGTTGGTTAGGTGACTGCCTTCGGCTCAGGTCATGATCCTGGAGTCCCGGGATCAAGTCCCGTGTTGGGCTCCCTGCTCAGTGGGGAGTCTGCTTCTCCCTCTCCCGCTCTCCCCCTCTTGTGCTCTCTCTCTCTCATTCTCTCTCAAATAAAATCTTAAAAAAAAAAAATGGGGGCGCCTGGGTGGCTCAGTTGGTTAAGCGACTGCCTTCAGCTCAGGTCATGATCCTGGAGTCCCGGGATCGAGTCCCGCATCAGGCTCCCTGCTCGGCAGGGAGTCTGCTTCTCCCTCTGACCCTCCTCCCTCTCATGCTCTCTGTCTCTCATTCTCTCTCTCTCAAATAAATAAATAAAATCTTTATTAAAAAAAAAAATGCTTTAAAAAAAAATGGGTAGAAGACATTCTTCCAAAGAAGACATCTAGATGGCCAACAGACACATGAAAAGATGCTCAACATCACTCATCATCAAGGAAATGCAAATCAAAACTGCAATGAGCTATCACTTCACACCTGTCAGAATAGCTAATACCCAAAACACAAGAAACAACAAATTTTGGTGAAGATGTGCTCTTGAACTGTTGGTTGGAATGCAAACTGGTGCAGCAACTGTGGAAAACTGTATGGAGGTTCCTTAGAAAATTAAAAATAAAACTACCCTGTGATCCAGTAATTGCACTGACAAAAAATGTAAAAACACTAAATCAAAGGGATACATGGACCCCTATGTTTATTGCATCATTATTTACAATTGCCAAACCATGGAAGCAGCCCAAGTGTCCACCAATAGATGAATAAAGATGTGGTGTGTATGTATATACCAAAATTTATATGTACACACACACACAATCCGGGTGCCTGGGTGGCTCAGTTGGTTAGGCGACTGCCTTCGGCTCGGGTCATGATCCCAGGGTCCTGGGATCGAGTCCCACATCGGGCTCCCGGCTCGGCAGGGAGCCTGCTTCTCCCTCTGACCCTCTCCTTTCTCATGCTGTTTCTGTCTCGCTCGCTCTCTAATAAATAAAATCTAAAAAAATATATATATATATATATTCATCCATAAAAAAGAAAATCTTGCCATTTGCAACAACATACAGAGCCAGAGAATATAATGCTAAGTGAAATGTCAGACAAATACCATATGATCTTGGGCGCCTGGGTGGCTCAGCTGGTTGGGTGTCTGCCTTGGGCTCAGGTCATGATCCTGGAGTCCCGGGATCGAGTCCCGCATCGGGCTCCCTGCTCGGCAGGGAGTCTGCTTCTCCCTCTGACCCTCCTCCCTCTCATGCTCTCTCTCATTCTCTCTGTCTCAAATTAATAAATAAAATCTTTAAAAAAAAAAAACAAACCATATGATCTTAACTCATGTTGAATTCAAAAACAAAACAAATGAGCAAAGGCAAAAAAAAAAAGGACAAACCAAGAAGCAGACTCTTAATACAGAGAACACACTGGTGGTTACCAGAGGGAAGGTGGGTGGGGGGATGGCTGAAATAGGTGATGGATGACGAGGATTAAAGAGTACATTTACCATAACGAAAAAAAAGAAATTTAGGAATCCTCTTTTCATACTGCAGATGTCCAAATATAGTGGGAGGTTTTTTCCGCCAAAATTGCATCTCAGAGGAGAGTCTATATTATATAGAGTCCTTTTCAGTTATTTTATCTTAAACCACAAAGCACCATATTAGAAACATGTTGGAGAATAATATATTCTATATATTTTTTGTCATTCAACTTCAAAGACCAGATGGTACATACAGAAAGCAGCAAGATGGCATTTAAAGATTTTATTTGAGAGAGAGCACAAGCAGTGGGGCAGAGGGGACAGAGGTAGAGGGAGAAGCAGACCCCCTGCTGAGCCTGATGTGGGGCTCAATCCCAGGACCCTGGGATCATGACCTGAGCTGAAGGCAGATGCTTAACCAACTGAGCCACCCAGGTGCCTCAAGAAACTCACTTTAAATATGAACGCATAAGTACGGTAAAATATATGCACATGGGACACTAATTGAAAGACATCTGAGGTAGCTGTATTAATATTACACAAAGAAGATTTCAAAGCAAAGAACATTACTAGAGATGGAAAGGGTTGTTTCCTAGTGATAAAGGAGTCAATTAAGAGGAAATAATCCTAACGTTACGATAATACCTAATAACAACTTCAAAGTACTTGCCACAAAAATCAATTGAACTGCCAGGAAAGACATAATCTACAACTATAGTAAGATTTCAACATACCTCTCAATAATTGAGGAAATAAGTAGAAAAAAAAACAGTAGGATATAGAAGACTTTACAATACTATCTACCAATTTGACACAATTAACAATTATGGAACATTCTACCTAACACCAGACAGAATATGCCTTTTTTTCAATTAAACATGAAACATCTACCAAGATAGGTCATGTCCTGGGATATTAAGTCTCAATAAATTTATACAAATCCAACTCGTGCAAATTATATTAGAAACCAACAATAATATAAGTAAATAACATACGTGGAAAATCTTCAGATATGTGAAAATCTACCAATAACACACTTCCCAATATCCTGTGGGTCAAAGAAGTTATAAAGCTGTTTTGAACTAACTGAAAATGAAAATACAACCTACCAAAGACTGAAGGATGCAGCTAATGCAGTACTTGAAAATTTTATAGCACAAGCACCTATGTTAGAAAAGGATAAAAGCTTAAAATCAATGACTTAAGCTTCCACCTTAAAACAGAAAAAGAGCTAAAGTTAGAAGAGTAAAGAAACAGAAGAAATATTTAATGTCAGAACACAAATGAAACAGAAAACAAAAATAATGGAAAAAAAAGATTAAAGCCGGATTAAGAACATCATTGAAATGAAACAAATGGAAAGATACTCCATGCTCGTGGATTAGAAGAATATTGTTAAACCGTCCATACTACTCAAAGCAATCTATAGATTCAAAGCAATCCTTATCAAAATACCAGTAGCACTTTTTACAGAACTAGAGTATCAAAATTTATATGGAACCAGAAAGACCCCAAAAAGCTAAAGTAATTTTGAGAAAGAACAACACTGAAGGTATCACAATCCCAGATTTCAAGATGCATTACAAAGCTGTAATAATCAAAACCGTGTGGTTATGGCACAAAAATAAACATACAGATCAATGGAACAGAATAAAAGAGCCCGTAAATAAACCCATGTTTATGTGGCCAATTAATCTACAACAAAGACAAGAATATACAATGGAGAGAAAATGGTACATTCAAATAAATCCTACTGGGAAAACTGGACAGCTACATACCAAAGAATGAAACACTTCCACCATACACAAAAATCAACTCAAAATGGATTAAAGACCTGTGAGCCCTAAAGCCATAAAACTCCTAGAAGAGAACACAGCAGTAATCTCTTAGACATCAACTATGGCAACATAGTGTTGGTAGGGATGAAAAAGGAGAGAAAGGACCCCTCATGCACTGTTGGTGGGAATGTAAATTGGTGCAGCCACTGTGGAAAACAGTATGGAGGTTCCTCAAAAAATTAAAATTAGAAATACCATGTGAGGGGCGCCTGGGTGGCTCAGTCGTTAAGCGGCTGCTTTTGGCTCAGGTCATGATCCCAGGGTCCTGGGATCGAGCCCCGCATCGGGCTCCCTGCTCAGCGGGGAGCCTGCTTCTCCCTCTCCCCTCCCCCTGCTTGTGTTCCCTCTCTCACTCTGTCTCTGTCAAATAAATAAACAAAATCTTTAAAAAAAAAAAAAAAAAAGGAAAGAAATACCATGTGATATGGTAATTCCACTACTGGGTATTTACCCAAAGAAAAAAAATAAGATATATTCTCCCCTATGTTTATTGCAGTATTATTTACAGTAGCCGATATGGAAGCAACCCAAGTGTCCATTGATAGATGAATGGATAAAAATGTGTATGTATACACAATAGAATATTACTCAGCCATAAAAAAGAATGAGATCTTTCCATTTGTGACAACATGAATGGTCCTAGAGGGTATTATGCTAAGTGAAATAAATCAGAGAAATGCCATATGATTTCACTTTTATGTGGAATCTAAAACAAAATGAACAAAGCAGAAACAGATGCATAAAAAAATAGCACTAGGGGTTGCCAGAGAGGAGGGCGTTGGAGGGGGGGGGGACAAAATGGATGAACGGGTGTGGGAGGTACACGCTTTCAGTTATGGAATGAGTGAGTCACAACGTTGAAAGGCACAGCATAGGGAATATAGCCAGTGATATTGTAATAGCGTTTTATGGTGACAGATGGGAGCTATGTGTGTGGTGAGCATAATGTATAGACTTGTCACTGTGTTATGTACCTGTAACTAACATAACATTGTGTGTTAACTATACTTCAATTTAAAAAAGTATCACCAGGGGCGCCTGTGTGGCTCAGTTGGTTAAAAAAGTATCACTAAAACTTACAAGCCTCTAATCAAAAACCAACAAAAAGAGACATGAATTATCCACATCAGGAATGAGAGTGGTAGTAACCTCACTAGAGATTCTACAAATGTTAAAGAAGGATTAGGAAGCAATAGGAACTGTCATTCATTGCTGGTAGGAATGCAAAATGGTGCAGCCACTTCTGAAGACAGTTTGGCAATTTCTTAAAAACCAAACATACTTGGGGTGCCTGGGTGGCTCAGCTGGTTGGGTGTCTGCCTTCAGCTCAGGTCATGATCTGGAGTCCCGGGATCGAGTCCCACATCGGGCTCCCTGCTCGGCAGGGAGTCTGCTTCTCCCTCTGACCCTCCCCCCTCTCATGTGCTCACTCTCTCTCATTCTCTCTCTCTCAAATAAACAAATAAAACCTTAAAAAAAAAATCTAAACAAACAAAAAAAACCCCAAACATACTCTTACCGTACGATCCAGCAATCAAATTTCTTGATATTTGCCCAACAGAGTTGAAACTTAGGTCCATACAAAAAACTGCACATGGATGTTTATAGCAGTTTTAGTCCTAATTGCCAAAACAGGGAAGCAATCAAGATGTCCTTCAGTTGGTGAGTGGATAAGTAAACCGTGTAATATTCTTGCAAAAAAGAAATGAACTCTTAACAAGCCACTTGCATGGAAGAAACTTAAATGCATATTATTCAATGAAAGAAGCTAATGTGAAAAAGCTACATACTGTATGATTCCAACTCTATGACATTCTGGAAAAGGCAAAATTATGGAGACAGTAAAAGATCAGTGGTTACCACAGGTTGGGGGAGGGAGAGATGAATAGAGCACAGAGGATTTTTAGGGCAATAAAACTATTATGTATGACACTATAATGGTAGATACGAGTCATGATACGTTAGTCAAAACCCATGGAATACACAAAACCAGGACACAATACACACAACCTTAATGTAAACTCTGGACTTTGGAGGATAATGATACGATACAGGTTCATCAGTTGTAACAAAGGTACCACTCTGATGTGGAAGGTTGATTGTGGGCTGTGTGTTCAGTACTTTCTGCTCAGTTTTGTAGATGGGATGATTATGACCAAGTTTATGCCAGTAAATTTGATGGGCTGAAATAAAATGGACAGATTACTAGAAACAAATTATCCAATTTCTCTGAAGAAATAGACAACCTGAATAGCCCTACAGCTATGAAATACATTGAATTTGTAGTTTAAAAACCTTCCTACAAAGACAACTCCAGGCACAGATGGTTTCATGAATGAATTTGATCAAACAGTGGAGAAAAAATTATACCAATAATACACAACCTCTTCTGGAAAACTTGTGTCAATTTTTTATATTATGAGCAAGGCTTAACTATTCATTTAAAAGCAGTACAGGGACGCCTGGGTGGCTCAGTCAGTTATGCTTCTGCCTTCAGCTCAGGTCATGATCCCAGGGTACTGGGATCGAGTCCCACATCGGGCTCCCTGCTCTGCAGGGAGCCTGCTTCTCCCTCTGCCTCTCTCTCTGTCTCTCATGAATAAATAAGTAAAATCTTTTTTTAAAAAAATTAAAAAAAAAATAAAAGCAGTATACCAGAAGACTTCAGACCAATATCCTTCATAAATATAGAAGCAAAATTTCCTTATAAAATACTAGCAAATCAAATCCAGCAATATGTACAAAAGGATGATACATTATGAACAAGTGGGTTTTATCCCAGGAATACAAGGTTCCTTTAACATTAGACAATCAGTGTAGTTTATGATGTTAATATAGGGGAAAAGGCATATGATCATGCAGAAAAAAAATATTTGACAGGATTCAACACCCATCTACAAAAAGAACTCAGCAAACTAGGAATGGCAGGAAAAGTCCTCAGCTTGATAAGGGCATCTATGAAAAAACTATAGGTAGTCTCATTAAAAAAAAAAAATTGAAGATTTGGAACAAGGCAAGGATGCCTGTACTTAGACTTCCATTCAACATTTGTGGTGAAGGCCTCAGCCAGTGCAGTAGGCAATTAAATAAAAGGTATATTCATTGGAAAAGTAAAAGTGTATTTGCAGACCACAATCAAGGTTAGAAAATCCTAGGGAGTTTTCAAAAATACTACTAGACACAGTAAGGTAGTTTATCAGGACCACAAAATAAAAGGTAAATATAAAAATGGATTGTACTTCTATACAACAAGCAGTTTAGAATGGAAAATAATGGTATTGTAATCGCAATTTACAACAGCCTAAAAAACATGAAAGTAGGGCGCCTGGGTGGCTCAGTTAAGCATCTGCCTTCAGCTCAGGTCATGGTCTCAGGGTCCTGGGATCGAGTCCCACATCGGGCTCCCTGCTCAGCAGGGAGTCTGCTTCTCCCTCTCACTCTGCCCCTCCCCCCTGCTCATGCTTGCTCTCTCTCAAATCTTAAAAAAAAAAAAAAAAATTGGGGGCGCCTGGGTGGCTCAGTCGTTGAGCGTCTGCCTTCGGCTCAGGTCATGATCTCGGGGTCCTGGGATCGAGCCCCGTGTCGGGCTCCCTGCTCTGCGGGAGGCCTGCTTCTCCCTCTCCCTCTGCCTGCCTCTCTGCCTACTTGTTCTAGCTCTCTGTCAAATAAATAAATAAAATCTTTAAAAAAAAGAAAAATACAACAAATGGTGCTGGAAAAATTATATATGCCTATGGAGAAAAATGAAATAATGACCCCTTCTTTACACCATACACAAAAATTACTTGACAATGAGTCATAGATCTAAACAGAAAAAAAGCATAATGCTTTTAGAGTAAAATGAAGATAATCTTTGTGACTTTAAGGTAGGCAAAGATTTCTTGACTCATTAAAAGAACTAGTCATAAAGGATTAATGCATTGGATTTCATCAAAATTAAAAGCTGCTCAAGACATTGAAAAAAGTAAAGGTAAGCAACACAGTTGTATCCAGAGTGTATGAATAGTGCTTGAAGTTCAATTAAAAAAACCCAATTTTTAAAATGGGCAAAATACTTGAATAGACCATTGGCCAAAAATGTATAAATGGCTCAGCACATGCAAAGGTATTCAGTGCAGTCATGAGGGAAATGCAGACTAAACCACAGATCCCTCTTCCCGCCCGTTAGAATGGCTGGGATACTGACCGCCGCAGGGGAGCCTGGGAAGGGACAGGGAAGATGGTCACAGCCCATGTACGGGGAGAGACCAAACCCAAGGATGGCATTTTCACAGTAACCAAGTGGCAAGGCAGCCTCACAATCCCTAATGTGGGAAGGCGGACGGCCGTGAGACCCGTTACCGGCGCCCGGGTGGACACGGCAGGAGGAAAGCGCAGGGCAGCCAGCGGATCCTAGAGTAAGAGCGGGAACGGGCGCAGGCTTCCACCGGAGACACGCGGCGGGATCCGCACAGCAAGGAGCCCGGCAGGATTTGCCCGCCCCGCCGTGGCTTTGCAGCCCAGGACTTTGAGGTCAGGGCCCCCGACTCTGGAGGAACCGCAGGGAGGGAATAAAGACTGAGCAGCGTAGGGGTGATAGAGGGGAGGGATGAAGCTGGGGTACGTGGGGGAGGGAAGCGGGTCCGAGCAGCCTGCGCGGTGGGAGCACAGCTGCAGGAGCCGGCGCTCCACGGAGAAGCTTCTGAGCCACACGTCCTACGAGGTCCGGGAAAACTGAAGTCCTCGTCAAAGGAGCACCCGAAGGGGATCACTGTCAAATCCCGTACAGAGTTACTGAAAGGGGGGGAAACCCTGTTCGTGGCCCACCTCCTGCGCAGGGAAAAGCAGCTCTTCCCTGACGCTGTCCTGTGAGCCCCATTTCCTGCTACACTTCGCACACTTTGGTCACCGAACGTGGAGGTTGGTGGCAGCGAGCAATTCTCTGTGACACCTGCTGGGTGTCCTCCAATTAAAGTCAATTCTGACACTACCCAGAGATCGTGTCAGACCCACCGGTAAGGGCTCAGTCCCACAAGACTGCCCCACCCCCTTTGCCCGCTTGGTCGCCAGTCCAGGTCACCTGTGCTTCTGACCCACCAGCTGTAGATTGCAGGGTCCCGTGACACCCCCCACCCTCCACGTGAACTTGCTAGAGCGACTCCCAGAACTCGGGAATGCACTACTTACGTTTTGGTTTATTCTGAAAGGATATGATAAAGGATGTAGACGAACACCCCAATGGAAGAGATGCGTTGGGCAAGGCGTGGGGAAAGTTCCCGAGCTTCCGTGTCCTGCCTGGGCGCCACACTGCCAGCGCCTCCTCCGCGCGCTCAGCCTCGGAGCTCCGCGCCTCCCGTCCTCGTAGGTTTTGTGGAGGCTTCCTTCCTTTGGCCTGACTGATTAAAGCGCTGGCCGTCGGAGAATGAGTCAGCCCAACCTCCAGCTTCCTCCCCTCCCTGGAGGTCCTGGGGTAGGATCGAAAGCGCCACCTCTAATCACGTGGCTGACTCCCCTGGTGCTTTCTCGAAGTCCCCTCATTAACGTAACAGTCGCCTCTTTCCCTCTCCTCACTGAAGTTCCAAGGGTTTTAGGAACTCTAGGCCAGAAATGGGGATAAAGACCAAATCTATATTGCTTATGACAAATTGCAATATCCTAGTTTATCCCTGTCTTCAAACACAGATTCCTAATAGTAAGACAAAGAGACGCTGGCATGTGACTAGAATCCCATCCGTCATGATAACCATCTAGTCCTTCGCATTCTATGAAAATGTCTCACAGGATGCGGCCACTCCGGTTCGCAGGCGTCTGTCTGTACGATCTGCTCAGGGTTCAACAGCGGGAGTGGTCTCAGCAACACAGGACGTCACCCTGGCAGGCGCTGGAAGACGCGAGCTGAGAGACGGTACCGTCGCTGCCGATCCCTCTCAAGGTGTTAATGTAACACTGGGTTTCCCTCATGACGGCCCATTTATTCACTCCCGTCCTCTCAGCTACTATTTCTCCCCCTCTCCATTTACACGCAGACTTCTGACGTTCAGGAGGGCCAGTGGGTTCGCTCGGTGAGGCTGCTGCAGTGCAGACCTGGGGGGCTGTCCCCCGCAGCCAGTGCAGAGCGGGCACTGTGGACCCCGATTCGGCCGGACGGGGTGATGGGCCTCCAGCCCCGGTGCTTGCAGCCCTGGTCCTGGGACCACTGGACCACGTGGGGCAAAGAAAAAGGAGCTGCGGTGACAAGTGGATGACAAAGTACACAGAGAGACGCTCACAAAGCTGAGCAAAACTGTCCCATGCCGCTCGAAACAAGCCAAAGGACACTAACAGGAAATGACAATTTAAAGCAGAATTTGACAACTCAGAAGTGTGGCAGGACTCAAGCAGGCATTCGAAATTTAAAAAATAAGTTGAGGAATGAGTAAAAAACACGGGGTGAAGAAACATGATACCTAATGCCTTGAAAGGAAATAGAATTTGACAGGAAGGAAAATTTTAAATCAAAAATAAATGAGAAAAGGTCTTCTGTCCAAGAGGGAGGAACAGGATCTGGGCCTGTCCTCCTGGGCTAAGCAGCTAGAAAAGCACAACAAAACACACACACGACTCTTTAGCTCCAGGCTGGTAGGGACCGCAGGACGGCCTCCTGAGAAACACGGTGAGTCTGGACTCATCCCAGCTTTCCCCCCAGACCAGAATGCTGTGGAGGAGCAGGGGAGGAGGCCAGCCTCCAAGAGGCTGGTGGTCGTGGCGACCGGAGACGGAGTGCAGGGAGGCCAGAGCGGCCGAATGAGCAGCACAGAATGTAGGAGAGGAGAAAGCTACACAGGGAAAGCACCCAGAAATCTGCACAGGGTCTCCGCAGAGTCCGGCTGCACGCCTGTCTGTCCACAGGTGCAGTGTGACTCCACCAGACCCTGCCGAGAACAGGTTCAAGGGAAGAGCAAGTCCCCGGGAAGGAGATCACACGGGGCTGGGAATGCTTTAGCAGCAGCCCAGTGGGTACACCTCAGGGAACATCCAGGACATCCAGTATGTTCCCCAAAGGGCCATACCCCAGTGCTGGGGCTGAATTAGACTCATCTGGGGCTCCTGGGTGGCTGTCGGGTAAGCATCCGACTTGGTTTCGGCTCAGGTCATGATCGCAGGGTCTTGAGATCGATCCCCACATCAGGCTCTGCGCTCAGCAGGGAGTGTGCTGGAGATTCTCTCGCTCTCCCTCTGCCCCTCCCCTCACGTGTGCTCCCACGCCCTCTCTCTAAAATAAATAAAATCTTTTAATAAGTAAATTAGGCTTATCTTAAAAATGTGTAAAGAACAAGCTTTGAAAGGAGGAAACAGATTCTCAGCTGCCGGCAGAATAAAGTCTAACACCCTTTAAAGGAACGCAACACAATCCAGCACTCAACATTCTGGAATCCAAGAAAAATTAACCAGACACGGAAAAGGCAGGAAAATGGGACCTGTCGCCTGGAGTAAAGATCCATCAGTAAGATGGGCCCAGAAATAAAAGAGATGATAGAATTAGCAGACAGTGATACTAAAAGCACCTATCACCCGTGGGCTCGGTGTGCTAAAACTTTGAAAGGACAATCTTAGGAGGAGGAACACAGCTGTGAAATCCCGACTCTCAAGGTCACACAAGGCGAACCTGAGTTACTGTCACACACCACAGACTAAGGAAACGTCATGACCAAAGGCCATGTGGCGACCCTGACCGGACCGTGGAACAGAAAGAGGAGCGACCCAGCTTCCTCAGGCACGCGGCACACGGCCCTCGCGCTCGGCCAGGAGGCTACAGCGTGGCTCCTGGATACCTGGGTGCAGGCACTGGCAGCTCCGCGGGACGCCGGCAAAGGCGTCTCTCGGGAGCCCTGGTCTCCTGAAGTGGTAGCGTGTCGCTGGAAGGAAACGTGGTCTCCTTAACTCCTATGCCGGGAGAGGGAGGGAGCAGCTCTTGGGTCGGAGCTGCCACCAGCGCGTGTGATGACACCGGGCCACGGGGGGCCTGGCTGCCTGCTCTGCCGAGCTGCCAGGACGCGGGGACTCTCAGTGCCACGGGACGCCCGTGCCCGTGCAGGTGGGTCCACTCCACGTCCATGACCTTGCGCTTCTCTTTTCCTGGTGCTCGCTGGCAGCCGCCGGCCTGGCTTTCGGACGTCTGAGAAGTTGAGCTCAGGCCGGTGTTGGGGCACCCTCAGCAGAGCCCGAGGGTCACCGGGGAGCTGGGGTTTCCTGGAAGAGAAGATCTTTCAGGAGCTATATTTCAGATGGAGAACATCACCCTTTTTAAAGTTTAACAAACGGGGCGGAGTGCTTTTAGGGAGAAGATTAGAGCAAAGAGATGGGAGGAAAACCAGGAGAGGGTGGAGGGCCACAAACACAAGGGTTAGGGTTTCAGAGAGACCATGGTCAACAGTGTCCCCCAGGACAAGAAACTCTACTGGCCCGAAACACACCTGCTGCCTTCGGTAGCACGTGACCAGACGAAGGGTGCCTGCCTGGTGACCGGAGGGAGGATGGTGCGGCGCCAGGTGACGGTGTTAACGAGGGAGGACAGGAGGGGCCGGGGTAGGGACGCAGAGGAAGAGCCGAGGTCTTTCTGCAGAACAGTCGGACTGCATGCGATTCTCCTGCCCGCCTGGGGCGCCGCCGGCTCTCCCTGGACTAGCGCAGGGCCTTGGCCTCCATGCGTCAGCTCAGCTCCCGCGTCCAGCACCCCCCGTAGCACAGAACACGAGTTCGCCCTCGGTGCGGTCAGGGTCACGGCACTGCCTCCGGCAGCCCCCACTGCACCTGCCCACCTGGACCTCACGACTCGGCCCTGCTTCTGACCTCGTCTCCTGCCACCCTGTGTTCTTGGCTTCCCACACTCAGCCTCTCAAGCCCCGCCCCCCGGCCCTGGCTCCTGCACAAGCTCCTGCCTTGTACCTCCCGTGAGGTCCCCTTCACTCCTTGGGGAGGCCCCTCCCCACGCCCGGCCCAACGCACCGGATTTCCATCTTAAAAATGGCCTCTCTCGGTCTCCCCAGTGCAAGCTCAGTGATACTGTCTCCGCTGTGACGTCCCAGGGCTTTTCAGGCTTTTCATAAATGTGGCGAGTGCAGGGTCCACGAATACGGCCACCGTGGCAGCTGACCAGTCCCGTCCACCGCGGGAGGGACAGCGCCTTGCTCTGGCTCCCTGGGACGCACTGCAAGGGCACTCTTCCGAGGGGGGAGGCACCAGGCGGCCCCCATGGGGCTTTGCGGCTTCCTCCTAGAGATCCGTCACCCTCGCACTGCCTCTCCTGCGCCCCCTGCCCTGGGGACCTGCGTTCACATCCGGAGATCCGACGGCCACAGTGCCCTTCCGTGCTTTTCCTGGCCCTGACCCGGAATGAGGGGGGGGACCCCACTCAAGCCGAGAGCGGAGCTCGGGTTCTGCGAGGACTCGAGGGGTTTCCTTCCTCACGGGTCGGATCGTGAGAGATCCACTAGGTCGGGGGAAAAGACTGCACCAGGTAAGGGCTTCGCCACCCGGTGCGGACCCGCACCACTCCAGCCCCGACCAAGCTGGCGGTTTTGCAAATGGGAGACGCTTGAGAGTATTTTTTAAACCCTTTTGTCAGAGAAGTGCTTTGAGAATTTCTATAGAACCACGCAGTAGAAAAGCTTATTTTGGGGTGTTCATGAAGCACAAGCTGAAAACTGGTTTTAGAAACTGTGAGGGGGATTCTGAACTATTTTAATTCTTAGCAATCCCCTTCAATGTCACATACATTCAGTACGATGGAAATCGAGTCTCTGTCACAGAATGAATCTGAAAAAGCCTGCCTCAAAAAAGCCCAGAAGACTAAATTTAACAAGGAAACAAAGAGAGACTTTAAACAAGGGAACAGGACACCTTGGTAAACACCCCTCAGGTGAAACTGAAGTTCCCGTCTCTGCTCAGCTGCAGGGAACACAGTCTCTCCATTTGGAAGGACCTACGACTTCACGTAAACTCGTTATCTGGAAAGAAAGAGAACCGCGGCCGTCGCACCCCGGGAGCTGAGGGCTGAGCCCGTGGGCAGGCCCACGGCCAGCACCCAGCCCCTCCACAGCTCCAGCCCAAGGCGGGCAGGCGAACACAGACTCGGGCGCTTGGATAGATGTAAAATATTTTATTTGTAAATGGTGATCTTCTAAATCTGTGTCCACAAATTCCAAAACCCATAACACTCTGTATACTTCAAAAAATTCAATTTTTGCCAACATTAGGTACTATTATACAGAACAGAGAACAAAAACCCGGTAGGACAAATACTGGTAGGATGTCAGAATATTGTACAAGAGAAGAAAAATATTCAAGAAACAAATTTCATACAGCTATTTATCAAGAGAAAAATATATACAATTGATTTATTCTGTAAGATAAAAATACATCATGCCATATACATTACAAGTTCAGAACTGCGTCACTGATAGACCGACAGTTTACAGCCCACTTGAATTGTGCACACGAAAACTTCATTTATACTTAGCCTGTGAAGTGTCAGTACCAGAATTTTAAGTACAAAATAAAAAGCTAACCTGGTTCAAAATGCTGATTAAGTTTCTACAAGCAAACACAAAACAGTGCTTTTTTTTTTTTTATTAAAGAAATGTAAACAAACAGTTCATACAAACACATTTTAAAATTACATCTTCCGAAACCCTATTGTCGGGGTCCTGCAGCTGCAAGTGTGACCACAACTCTTTTTTTTTTTTTTTTTCCTTTTCAAATTTTTGTGTTAAATAGAAGGCTAGAGTTAGGCTGGAGTCCTGCTACACGATCTAGTATGTATACATGATTCTCTGTGGCTTGAAACAAAGTTCTAATCAAAACTACATCCGCTGAAGAAAAGTTCAGCCTCCATTTGGGTGTATTTTTAAGCATTATTCACAGTTATCACAAATTGTAAGCACAAAAAAACCTGACTGAAGAAGTAGGGATGCAACAATATAATATGAAAAAGTTAGTTTAAATTACCAAAACAGCTATAAAAGTCGTAGTCTTAGCCTACACTCCGTTCTATCAGAAGGTGTATAAAACAATTAAGTACTAATAGACCGTAGTTTCCAAAAAACCCCAAATGCTCTAGGTTGAAATTTTGGTTATTACGTAATTATAACGGCATATTTAATAACACAAAATTATATTGTGACATCCCCATGAACATTTTATAAGCACCCGAGCTGCTGCAGAGCCTGGTAGCATTTGGTCAATACTATTTTTATACTGTATTTTTTTCTCAAAATATTTACATATTTGTACAAAGTAACAGGGTCTGTTAGTTCTGCAGGTAACAGCAGCAGCTTGGCTTTCTTCTAACTTTTATTTAAAAATAGCTTCATTCACTTATTCAATAATAAATACAAAAAGTTTCTCTTATTTTACAGAAATCAAAAACTACAATAAACTGACTCATGGAATCAAGTATTTAAATGTATTTTAGTGCAAGTTATTACCCCTTAGCTCTATCCCTAAGGAAGTCATTTCAGTACATTCCTTGTTCAGTGGTGTCTACTTTATTTTAAAAAATCTTTAAGTTAGAGGGCCTGCCCCTGTTTCAGATAAGGCCGTGGCCAGCACTTTGGACGTCCGTCCCCCTTTCGCTGGTGATCTCAGTCTGTACATTCATAGGAAGGCCCCCACCCCGGGGTAGGGCGGCAGGCGGCTCTTCGCCCCCAAGGGTCTCCTCAGCGAGACGCAAAAACACAAAACAAAACAAAACCCACCCACAGAAAGAAGGAGGAAAGAAAGAAGAAGAAAACAAAAGTGCTGACTGCTCTGTGGTCCTGGCGCCACTCCGGCCCAAAGGACTGAGGAGGGGATCAGAACTCCCAGAGGCGAGTTTTCAGAAAGTCATAAAACAGAAAACAAAATCTCTTTCTGTCTGCAAAATTCAAATGGTGTGTTGAATCGCTTCTTCCTAGGGACAAGCCGCCCGCCGAGACCGCAAGGAATGCATTCAGTTCATCCACTTCCGGCAGTTCACGGCCCCGCAGTGACACGGAATCTTGTGCTGGTCATCTTCAAAGTCAAACTTATAGTCATAGCAAAGCTGCCCACGGCAAAGACACAGTGTGAGAGAGGCTGGGGGCGGGGGGGTCCTGCCTCTATCTGCCCGATCCGCAAACCCTGCAGCACAGCCAACCTAGCAAAGCACCCGAGCCGCGGCCGCCCCGTGGGCCTCGGACAGAAGCCCACCTGGGGTCCCCACGGGACAGAGACATCGGCAGGCAACGCTTTCAGGCTGCACCACATCTGAGGAAGGCGAGGCCGCTGGGGAGAGCTGCGTTCCCACACCTCCTCGCGGCTCCCCCCCACTCCCACCCCCAGGCCTTCCTCCTCCCCACCTGGGGGAGGGACCAACCACCCCTGCTGGCTGACAGCTTCTCTTCTCTCCTCACTTAAAAGAATGTTTAAAAAAGGTCTACTTAGGGTCATCAAGTTACTGTGCACATCTCAGACCAGCCCTGCTGCCCTGGAGCCCAAGCCCCCGACCCCCCCTGACTCTGCCAGAAGAAGGGGAGGCCCAATCCGAGGGCCTTCTGTCACAAACGTCCTAAGTGAGGGGCTGTTTGGAAAGACTTCCTTTCTACACTGAAACAGAAGACACCAACATTTACTGGGTAGCTTCTCTCAGTAACAAAACCACTTAGTACCTTTTGCTAGGTACTTGCAGAGTTCTTCAGGGAGACTTGCGCCATTTCATATAAATGAAGCAGAGACTCGGAGAAGTTAAGTGACCTACTCAAGAATACTCAGGAAGGGGAAGGAAGGACCCGGAGCTCGGGGGGTCTCCATCTGTCCCAACGCCCCTGGTGGTCGCTGGCACCATGCTGGGTTCTCACATACTTTGATTTACTCCTTGAGATACTTCGAGATGCGCCATGGGCATTGGGTAAATTTTTGATTTAAAAAGGGAATCCCAAAAAGATGACCAAAAAATACAAGAAATCATCGCCTAGCTCTGATCCAAAGGGTTGGGGGGTTCCAACATAGACACTCAGGCCCCTCATCCCCTGGCCCAGGAGAGGCTCTTACAGAAACCCACACTGCTCAGCGGCACCACCTAGAGCACCTCGAAATGTGTGCTAATCGCCTTTGTGGAAGACAAATTAGGGAAACATAAGTGGTCTGGACTAGTAATAATTTTAACAGGTGAAAGAGACCAGAGAAACAAATGTCAAGTTCAGCATCCAGCATTTTGAAGAGAAAAGATTGTAACAAAAGAGCCAAATTGAAAATACGTTGAGACAAATCTGTAAGCTTGTACTGATGCTAAGTGCGAATACAGGAGATCTGGACCCACATGCTGCCCCCAAATCGGCCGCCTGCAGCCTTCCAGTGGCCTCGCGTGAGCATCATGTTCCTGGAGACCACAGAGGCCACAATCCCATCAGTGGGATGACAGGTAGAATCTTTAAAGAGAGGAATCCTGTCAATCTGTGACCAAGGGGGTCAGGCAGGAGCCCAAAGACACAGGGAAGTGATGCCACATGGGTGCTGCAGGGATGTGTGGAGTTTGGGAAGCACAGAGTGAGGGAATCAGGGGGAGCTGGTAGTCCACACTTGCAATGCTGCCACGAGGAGGAAGGCGGCACGTGGATGTCCCGGGGAAGTGACGGGGTGGCACCCTCTGACCCACCACAAGGAAGAGTTTTTCTAGCACTAAAGCAATGGACAACCCCCAGGCCGGCCGACCGCATCAAGCAGCGAGCTGCACGCGGGGGTATGAGCAGAGCAGACGGGATCCCACACTCTTACCTCTTCTCCTTTCTGGATTCTCCGGTTGGAGCTGATGATGATTTTGTGTCCTCTCTCAAAAGTCACCACTTCAGCCACACAATTAGGCGCACACGAATGGTTGATATATCTGCAAGCCACCGTGTCAGAAACTACTGATTATGGAGCAGCTGGAAGCTTTACAAACATTCAGTTCGTCGGGAAAACTTTTTCCTGATTACATTTCTACGTGCCCATTCGTAGAACAAGAACACACACGATTTTAAATGAAAATTCTTTTCAAAACTTATCTGCCCTGAATTTTTAATCATGGAGGCTGTCGTGGGCACATGGACCCACTGGGCAGAACTTCCTTGACCAGATTCCCGTTGCCTCACCTGGCAGGCCCTCCTGTGAGTGTCGCATCGATCACGTGGTCATTATCCATGCGGAACATGTACACACCACGGTTCTGAAAGAGAAAAGTCAGAAACTCCTCCACGTGCACATTCAGAGCAGGAAGACTCAGCTGCGAGTGAATGGAAACACAGCCCGATCGCACTCACTGTGGGTGTTACACAACCACGTCAGGGGACATGTATGTCCGTGGTGGGAATGGGATGGAAATCAATGGATCGGGAGGTTGCTCGCAACGCCAGGCTCATTAATCTACAGCTGTATCTATGTGAACAATAACACCAACTAGATAAGGTGAGACTGACGGAAAAAACAAGAATATCCAGATGTTAAATAAAAATCTTTTAAAAAAGGAGGGGGGTGCCTGGGTGGCTCAGTCGGTTAAGTGTCTGTGTTTGGCTCAGGTCATGATCCCAGGGTCCTGGGATTGAGTCCCGCGCCAGGCTCCCTGCTTAGTAGGAAGCCTGCTTCTCCCTCTGCCCCTCACCCTGCTCATGCTCTCTCTCGCGCGTGCGTGCGTTCTCTCTCAAATAAATTTTAAAAAATATCCAGATATGGCTTCTGTTCAAAACAACCTCACAGGACAGTGCGACTTGGCCCTGTTTCCAGCTTTTCAATGGCACAGGGACACAGGAGGACTGGCCCTTACCTGAGACTCATACAGTTTCTCTTTTCTGTTTGCAACTTCATTTCGAATGATCGTGCCAATGTACTCGATGACCATGGTGTGCTTCTCGATGTCCCTAGCAGCATAAAGGCCCAGCCCCTGCAAAAAAAAGAAATAAAAAATGGGGGGGAAAATGTGTGTGTATGTACTTCAAAAATCACTTTGATTTCTTGGACAACAAACCCGATTCCCTTTCATACAAAGGCCACATCAAAAGCCACACTGAAGATTTCACCTGAACTCGAATGGTCTTTTTTATTGAATATACTATCACCTGAAACAATCTTACCACTTAAAGTCATGCCATTACTATCCTGCTTTGTGTCTTTCTTTTACTAAATTCTGAAGGCATATTTACAAAGCTGTACCACTGACTGGCCACCACATTCTGCCACGCCATCTTCTCTTCCATTCATGCCAAGATCCCACCAACTAAACAGGCTAATAGCTTCTGGTGTTTATCCCATTACTGTTTCTAAAAGAATATGACAGGACAATAAACTTAATCGATAAGAAATAGGGCTAACCACAAGGGACTGTGAATACTATAGTCAGGTTTCGGATTTGGCTAGGAGTTCCTGGAAGCCAGAGCAAAAGGAGAAGCACAAGTTACTCTGCTCTGATTACCAGGAAAGCTAGAAAGAAATAAAGTTCTTCAGAAAGGTGACTTTCTCCCATAATTTGAAGTTCGGAGGCCAGAGAGAAATGTACGGGAATGTGACCTGTCGAGAAACACTGCCGCGGGTCTCTCATTTGGCAGCTCGTACTATCTATGCTAGAGGCCTAATGAATCACATACTATGATTTGTTTGTGTACTTTTTAAGTTTTTAGCATTACGAATTCTGGAAAAATAACATACTGAAAAAAATAGATAATTTCCAAGAATATGTGATATTTTCTTGTCCCAATGTGAGTTTCTGCCTTCTCAACTCCAGCTGGCTGCCGGAAGACCGCAGTAGCCAAGCAGGGAAGAGCGTGTGCTAAATGGGGAGTCGGCCAGGTACAGCTGCATCAAGCCCCGCCGTGGGGCACACGGTCCCAGAGGCCCATCTCAGAGACTTTGGTGTGTCAACCGAATTATCTTCTAGGAAAAGAAATTTTATGCAATTTATCTGTTCAATTCCAGACATAACTGAGGTGAACGAACCAGAATACACGAAAAAGTAGTATGTATAGAGATCAATAGAGTTTGGTATAAGAACAGACAAGATCAGTGAAAAAGAACAGAGAATCCAAGTAGATCCATGCATATGTGAAAATTTAATGTGTAATAGTTATTTAGTAGTATGGTGGCGTCACAATTCAGTGCAACATGGAAGGGTTATTTACTAAATGGTGCTTTTCAACTAGTTACTCAATGGAAGAAAATAGTCTTAAACTAACACTTAAAATTTCTGAAATCAAGAAATCCAAGAGACTACATATACAATAAAATCTACTGTCTTAAACAAGACTAGAAACTACAGAAAATTATGTACATTTAACTATGCAAAAACTGAAACTTTTATAAGAAAAAAGATACCATACTTCCTAGTAGGCACAGGGTGTTTGGTTAGGGGAGAACATCTATTAGCACAAGTTCTTACAAATTAGAAAATGGGCAAAGGACGAATATGTAATTCACAGAAGAGCAAATTCAAACGGTAAGCATGGAACGCTGCTCACTGGTGAGCCGTTAGAAACTGCAGTGAAGGGAGCGCTATCAGGCTGGGGGACATAGAAAAGGACAGCAGCATGACAAATGGGGAAAGAAGAGAGAGTGTCTCCCAAACGCAGCAAGAAATGTGCAATGACAGCCCTTCCGGAAAACCAACAAGGTCTGCTAAGATGAAAAGTACATACGTACTTTTACACAGTAATCTCACTGGTGGGAATATTCTCCAAAGGAGTGAATATAGCAATACGTGGGGATATTTGTACAACATATTGATGGCAATGCTATTTTGGGAAAAACTGTAAGCAAAATAAATGTTCACCAGTTGTGGAACGGTTTACTTAATTACAGTTCATCAACGTCAGGGAACGTCACAAAGCCATTAAGGAGAATGAAAGAATGAAACAGAGCCACCTCAGTTGCTGTAGAGGATAAGTGAGAAAAGAAGACTGCAGAACAGTGTATGGGAATGAGTCCACCGGAACATCCATCACAGACATGCCTGCACGGTCAGGACAGTGGCAAGGAACACACCAAACACGGGGGTTAAGAAATCACTGAAATGACAGTAAGGGAATAAAAGTGACACAGAAATAGGAATGGTACCAAGTAAACGAGCTACTTGGGAACGTTTAAAATGGGAAAATAGTCGATGGCGCAGATGAGAAAGACACACCACCGGGAGCGGACCCAGGAGCTGGAGCGGCTCCATTCTTGACGCAACAGCGAAAAGAAAAGAAAGAGATCATATGTGTAATTTAAACACACAGTATCAGATAAAAAGATCAAGAGCAGAAAGGGCTCTTAGTTTTTTGTTTTTATTTTTTTTAAACACAAAAGAAAGATCAGCAGATAAAGTAGAAGCCACAGAACAAGGACAAGGGAACCAAAACCAGAAGGGGGAGAGAAGGAGGGCTACGGAGACAGAAGTTCCCGTCTGTGTTCGCACTGGCCATCTGGGGGCCCCACCGCAGGGGCCAGGTCCCAGCTGACGCTGCTGCTAGTCTGGGGTCCACCCTATGAGAGCCCAGATCTCATGGGTCCGAATTTGTCTATAGGTTCAAAGAGAAAGAAATAGAGGTAGGACCTTGCAAGAATTAATACAGAAACACTTCTCAGACTGAAGGCCACAATGCTCCAGGTCGAAAAGGGTCATCAAATAAGGAAAGCAATAAAAAAGAAAATGACCCGAATCTAGGCACATTTTTTGTAAAATGTCCAAACATCAAGACTAACAAAAAGATCCTACAATTTTCTCAAGAGGAGAAACAAGGTTCCAACAAAGGAACAAGAATCCAAATTGAGTACAGACAATGGAAAGAGATCAGATTTATATTCTGAAGGAATCACAGTGGGTGTGAGTGGAACTGGGCGAGAGGAGGTGGGCAGCCAGACCCACCGGCCATGCACACAAGACACTATGGCAGGTAAACACTGTGGCGGAGCCAGAGCGTGGACTGAGAGAGCTCTTCTGAGGGGGAAAGGCAACCGAGCACTTGAGGATGCTCTGGATCTGGGCATATGGGGCCAAGGTACACAACTCGTGGACGGGGACACCACTTAGAATAATTAGGCTTAGGGACTGAGATGTTCGGCAAAGTGAGCTTTGTACTTCCATCCTGGGACATCCAAGGGGGAGATGCTGAATAGGCTGGGTTCTTTAGGTCAGCAGTTAAGCAAGTATGGACTATGGATATAAATTTACATGCTTAGCCTGCAGATGATCTATAAGGTATTTCACAATCTATGCACCAGAAAATACAGTGCTCTCGTGAAGAGATGGCTTCCAAAAGAGAACTGCCCACACTGGAGCACCTTTTGAAAAATATTTTCATTTGTATTTCTTTTTTTTTTTTAAGATTTTATTTATTTATTTGAGAGAGAGAATGAGATAGAGAGAGAGAGCATGAGAGGGGGGAGGGTCAGAGAGAGAGGCAGACTACCTGCCGAGCAGGGAGCCCGATGCGGGACTCGATCCCGGGACTCCAGGATCATGACCCGAGCCGAAGGCAGCTGCTTAACCAACTGAGCCCCCCAGGCGCCCCTCATTTGTATTTCTCACAAGAATTTGAAACCGCTCTAGTGAACGCTCCACAAATCCAGTGAGTACAAAATACAGTGCTACCTGCTTCCCATGAGTGCTCATCGAGATGCAAAGATGTGGATTCCAGAGGTCTTCCCACTGGGGGAAGAAAAGCATCCAGGCTCAAAGAGACGTATTCAGTCACTACTGTTACAAACTAACAAGATGTGATAGGATTTTAAAAACATGATTCTAATCCTGTAGCCGTGTGAAACCCTTCTTCACATATGGATGCCAGTATCTTCTGACCGCCAGACCCCGCCCTGTCTCTCGTCTTCCCAAGGACAGACTATTTCCTTACCTGGATACGAGACCGGGCCAGATAGACGTTGGATTTCCACTCGGTCTTCATCTTCCGGTACTGCGAGGACTTGGAGTGGACGAACTGCTTACTGTACGGCGCGTTCAGCTCCCCCGTGACCGTGCTCTGGAAGGACTTGGAAGTGCTGGTGCTGTTCAAGGTGTGAGGCCTGCACACGATGGCGCGTCAACAGGAAAGAGTAAAAGGAAAACTGAAGATATCTCCGAATGACGCCCCAGGCCACGCTGATTCGAACTCTTACTGACGGGAACATACACGGAAAGCCGCCTAGCCACACGGCGAGTTCTCTGATGCGGTCGGCACAGACACAGCCAGAGACAGCAGGGTTTGTAAGCAGCAGACAAATCAAGCACAAAAACCACTAATACGCCTAGAAACCCTGGGCTGTACTATGTGAAGTTAAAACAAAATACCTTAACACAAACCTCTTGACATGGGCACTCATTTTAGGTTCGGAACGGGCACAGCCTGTGGGGTTAACGGCAAGAGGGAGTTCCATGAGAGGATTGCGGCCATACCGAAAGGTGTAGTTCTCACACGCCTCAACCCCAGGGAGCTGAAAAGGAGCGAAACAGACACAAGGTTAATTTATTTGACCATGACTGCAGACAATCCTGAGCTGGCCCAAGGGATGGCCCAACTTGAACTTTTGTGGAAATAACTTGTCAACATATTCCCTGGGGACAAAATGGTCTTTTAACTTATGTTAACATAACCAGCCTGCACTCAGCTCTATTTCAATATTAATACACCGATTTCAGTTTCAAAGTGGCACTTTCATAAACTCTGGCAAATGCTCCTTGAAGAAAAGTATTAACCCACAGAACCACCACAGGCCAACCAACATACATGCCTGTGTGACTTTAGATCTGATTATCCCAACCCAGTATGTACTGACTTGCAACTTCGTTCTTTCAACTTTCATATATTTGGAATTTAAAAATTAAATATAGTTAAAAATCATTTATATGCTTTACTGTCTTGATTTCTCACTTCTTCCGATTTGACTACAATGAGGTTATCACACTCAATGCCCCGAGAGTGCACGTGGTAAGTTAAGGTTTACCTGTAAAATAATTTTATGTTAAAGGTCTTTTCCAGAATACACTTCTTGTGAACATATTTCTCTATAGACATAAAAGATTCATATCATTTAGGCAGAGCTCTACCAAAGAAAGCAAGTAGACCTAGAACTCGGTGGCTTTTTGGGTGTCCTCTGCTTCTCCATAAAAAGAGAAAAAAAACAAACCCCACCAACCATCGATGATTTTTTTCTTGTTCAAAATAATGCCTTATAATCATGCAACTTCTCAAAAGCATTGTGTGCAGACTCACTGGCAAACACGCTCATAATCTTAAAAGACTGCAAAGAAAGGTCAGAGAAGACCCAGTGCTCCTGCGGTCACTGCCCTCTGGTGATGGCCGGGCGCGGGGGCAGGAGAGTGGCTACAAACACCCGGGGATCAGGGTCAGTGCAGGAAAACGTGAGGAAGCAAAGGGGACAGTAGTCCCCTTACCAGCACTGCCTGAGGACAAAACAGCGTCCCTGCCCTTCGCTCTGCCTCATCTGCACCCTCGAAGAGAACCTGAAATTTGTGAGCCTCCTCCCTGAGGGAACATTAACATTTACTGAGGTGTCCAGATGAATCAGATGCCTTGAGACACACGAAGAGAGCAAAGTGCTCCCTCAGAGTATCCTATTAGAGCCCGTGTCAAACGGTCACACTGGGGGGGACCACTACGTGCAACCACAAAGGCTCTCCCGACGACACATCGGGCCCGAGGCACTCACTGACTCCGCGATCCGTGCCACTGCAGATACCGTGAGCCCAAACAGATCTTCTCCCTTTAGATACGCTGGAAAAAGCTGGAGCATTTCAGACTGTTTTCTCACACATGCCACGGGCTCCAATATTTTATCCCAAACACCTACATATGGCCAAAACAAAAAGACAATTTAGAACAAACTTGCTCTCTGGAAAACAGGATGCAATATAAAACAGCAAACTAAAGACGGACCAACCACTCAAAGACTTACCAGTTTCCAGGTAAAGCCTTGGAGGTGGTAATCTAACCACCCTGTTATTACCTGCTTATCAAATGGCAGTTTATTTTGAAGACTTTATGAAATGTTGGGGAAAAGAATGTGTTACATTAAGGAAATTAAACAATGAAAGTGGAAAAGAAAGTTTAATGTAACAAATTCATGCAAGAACTTAATTCATTTTCACACAAGGTGCCTAACTTTAGGCACTAATTAACTAATTAATCTAATTAGCAGTACTTAGAAGTATGTTTCTTTCCCCTCAGATTTAAATTAAAATATGAAATTGATATTTCCATTGGAATTATCTTCAGGGCATTTTCATACTTTCTTTTAAAAACAGCTAGACTTTAAAAAAAAACCAATTCCCCGGTACTTTGTGCAACAATAAAATGACAGCCTACAGTTGGAATTAAGTGTCCTATTTCTAGCTCCAAATTTGTTTAATACCTGGTAATACTCATGAAAGACAACGTACACAATATGCTGTAAATATGGTTTCCTGCCTTCCGCCATTAGGAGAGTCCCCAACGCAAACAACAGGCAACCTTTATCTACAAATCACTGCTTTCTCAACTGTGTGCTCAAATACATATTCTGATTTCGAGTCAGTGTAGCAAGGGCTGAGAAGGTGGCACAGCAGAGACAGCAGGGACGGTCACACAAAGAAGCTAAACGTCGTGTTTGTAAATGAAAAATCCATGTCTGTTTCCATAAAACATGACCCCAAAAGAGAAAACCAGGAAACAAGGACACAAAACGTTCAGGAGCCGGCTCTGCAGGGCATACAAATGTGGCTCTCACCTTTGGGGGAGGAATCACTCAGGACAAGATCTTCGTGGCCCTGCTCCACAATTCGGACGGCGAACACCGGGCGCCCGTCCTTCTCCTCGATGGAGCAGAGATAGCGGCAGCGCCTGTTGGCGTAGCGGGTGCTCCAATACAAGCGGCTGGCCTCGTAGCCCACAGGGAAGAGGGCGTGAGCCGAGTGGAATGCCTGCATCTGCTGCGGCAGCAGCTGGCCGATCGTGTGGAAGATGAGGCTTCCGACGCGGAAGGTGTGGTCACGTTCCCCACGCTGCACGATGCTAGCGATCTGTCGCACCTCATCACGTTGAACGTAGACCCGTCTGAAGACTGCGAAGTAACTTAACTCCTGCTCATGAATTCCCTTTGGTTTGTGCATGGGACAAAGCATAGTTTTATCCTTAAAAAACATGCATTGTGCTTTAATGGCGCAAGTAAAGTGATAAATGTTGGTGCACCGAAATCGGTGACATCCGCTGGTGGCGCCCATCTTATGGCAGAAGACACATTTCATCTGCAGGCCCCGCCTCAGCGCCAGCTCCACGTTTATGAGGGCCCCAGCCTGGGTCTCATAGACCTCCGTGGACCACAGCGCACAATTCAAGTGGACCCACAGGTCTAAGTCAAGGTTGAGCAGCCTTGCTGGCCCGTCTGTCAACCCATCTCCCTCCTCGTGACAAAAGCAACACTTCCGGTAGTCTTTGGGCACAGGGTCCGGTTTAAGGGACGTGCCCAGTTTCTTCAGAAACTCATCTATTTCGTCCTCACAAGGGGGTCTGAAGCTCCCCTTGGGGATTACGATGTGAATGCTCCACTTCTTCCACTTCATCCCTCTCCACTTTTTATTGATTGGCCTACAGTCTTCAAACCCGCCGTGGACAGTCCGGAGCCGAGGCTTTAACTTGACCGTTACCTTGAGCTCGTCTGGCTTTGCCTCTACTTTGGCTGCTTCAAACGCCGGAGGGAAAGTGATGGGGGGTGATGCCGGGGCCGAAGCTTCTTCCTGGAGCTGCGGGAGACAGTGCACGTCCAGAGTGGAGATGTTGTTACTGTACTGATGGAACGCTTTGGAAGGCGTCTCTTTCACAGGCGACTGTGGCAATGGCGGGGCAGATTCCTGCACAATGAAAGGGAACAGGAGTAAGGAGAGCAGGTCATCCCAGAGCAGGAAGCCAAGCAGCAGGTGTCACGGGGCCTGTGCCCCCAGGGTCTCCGGGCTGAGCAGAGGCGGACACCGAACACTGAAGGTGCTGACAAATACCCACGGGCTGACGAGAGCAGAGCCGGGTCGGGGAGTCCCGCCCCAGGCCTTCTCGACAAGGCTGCACCTCTGGAGAATGCTCTGCTCCTAAACCTTCTTGGACACTCCTCTCTAACCATAATAAAGCCAGAAAAATCAACGCTGAAGAGAGGAGCTAGTTTAATTTGTACAATGGAACGGTGCTTTTTGTTGGACCAAATAAAACTTCAGAACATAATCTTCTCTGAGCTTATCCCCACTCTCCGAAATTCATGTCTGTTCATCTTAGGCTGAATTAATTGGCATAAATGTGAAGAAAGAAGGGGCAGTGGTCCCCTATCAACATATATCACACGTGACTCTTCCCTGGCGCTGCCCAGCTCTGACCCAGCTGCTGGAAGAGGTGAGCTCAGAGACAAGCCCCGGGACTTTCTCTCTGGGTACCCACAGGTTCCCCGTTTTCACACAGCCCCCTCCACGGGGTATCTGAGAAGATACACCTCACATAAATCCAGGAGCACGCAGGAACTGCACACCAAATTTAAAAATTATCTGGTAAAAAAGCAATTCCTCCTCTTATAGAAGCTGACATATTAATTTTTTAAAAGATTTATTTATTTTGAGAGAGCATGAGCAGGGGGGAGGGGCAGAGGGAGCAGCAGACCCGCGGCTGAGCAGGCAGCCTGACGCGGGGCTCGATCCCGGGACCCTGAGATCATGACCTGAGCAGAAGGCAGATGCTTAACTGACGGAGCCAGCCAGGCGCCCCAACATATTTTAATTTAAAGTCTAAACCTATTTGGCATATAGCTTGATTTCATTATACTGGAGACTACTGCCTATTACAAAAATAAGTCTCCAGAACATTCTCCCAGAACAGACAGCAGAGCAACGATATGCAGGGAGGAATGACTAGTGGCATCACAGCACGGGAAGGCTTCCTTCAACACAAACAGTCAAAAATGTCTACCCATATCAACCACACATTTAGATACACTTAAATCACACAGAATCAGGTACAGTAGACCATTTCCACCATGACAAGCAAAATGCTTTCTCCCCCAAAATACAGGAGTAGACTTACAATGTGTTTGTGAGCAGGTTTTCCCATCAGGTAAGATCAATAAAAGTTGTAAGTCTTACCGTTGTAATTAAAATAAGATATTTATAATTAAGTAAAACTAAAGATGTTATTAGTATTAGTGTTTTATTCAATTCTGAACTTCTAAGATATAATTCAAGTCTACCCCCCTTCTCATCAGATAAGCTGAATTTATCTGGAATAGCAAGACGGGCTGCCCTTCCTCTGCCCGCGTAACATGTGCCGGGATTTCCTGCACACAGAATGCTAGGAACCTGTTCTATCCAATCAATGTAACCCCAAATCACGGAAACCACTCATTATACACTGTTCACTGAGACTATCCTAATCTTACCTTGCTTTCTGCATTTTTTGCTTGTGTAGTTGATGCATAAAGAACGAAGCAATTATTACTACAAAAGACAATGTCCTTCTCCACTCTATTGGAGCTTTCTCGGGAATCCTGAAAGGCAGAGAGAAACGTGTGGGGATCTCAAGTCAAAATTTCATAAAAACAAGATCCATCCATTGTTGGTTTTTATGCTATGTTAAAAGTGAAAGTAGTTCTCTATTGTAAAAGTAAAAAAGTAACTCCCTGCCAATATTTAGCATGTAATTTAGCCAAAGAAAAAATAAATGTACAAAAATAAACTTTATTATCCGTATTTCACTCTATTTAGACATATGTGGGTCTCATATTATCCAGTTTACCAGTCTGCTGTCACTGTTTGGTTTGCAGCTAAACACGTGAAATACATGCTGAGGCTACTTGGTGGAACCTCCCGGGGGCC